AAATTCCAAATTGCTCTTTTTACTATTTTCTCCCTTCCAGATTTAAGTTCTCATTTCAATGTATGCTCTTTATACGATGTCTGTTGACTCAATCCATTTATAGAATAAGTCCCATCTTTCAGTTGCCTTTTGTAAAGGACAGTCCTTCATCACTTCTGATAAAATGTCCATTTCCACTGTTTCCCGTATCTTCTCTATAAAATCTTCTTGTTTCGGTACCTTTGGACTTTTCCAATTTTTGGCATAAAGAATTCTGGCTGCAGTGACTATGTATATAACTATATACTCCTATACTCCTTTGTCTTATTTATGTTATCAGGTATCATACTCAATTAAAAACAGTTCTGGGGTTAATGGCACGTTACAGAGCAATATTTGTTGCAACACAGCATGTACTCTTTTCCAATACTGTTTCGCTACTCTACATGACCACCACATATAATAACTTCCCACATGTGCTTCACATTTCCAACACACATTTGATACATCCATATACATCTTAGACAATTTTTCTGGAGTCATATGCCACCTGTAAAACATCTTGTATATATTCTCCTTAAAATTAACCAATCTTGTAAGCTTTACATTATTTTGCCATATTTTCAACCATTGATCAATATCAATATTATGCCCTATGTTTTGTGCCCACTTAATCATACATTCTTTAACCATTTCATCTTGCATTTTGATTTCTAACAGATATACATTTTCTTAACTATTTTATTTTTTTCCACTTCTAAAGGACTTACAGTATAATGATTTTTATAGCATGTGAGTTTGGCACCAGATCCCCCAAACCTCCAAAAAGTAGCAAGAATTTTCCCTCTCCTCCTGTTTTAAGTGTGCCCTGTGCCGGCTGGGTGCTAGGAGCAAACAGATGCCCATTCTTGCCCTCCTCTTTACCCCACAAACCCTCCTGGTCGCTCACGCTGAACTCTCTGGGCATTCTCCTCAGCGCCCTGATGTGCTGATGCTGGAGAGCTTGGTTGAAGCAAAAGCCTGGCCCAACCAAGATCCACCAGCAGAAGAGCCCTGAAGCAGCCTCTGTCAGCAACCCAGCCCAGAGCAGGAGTGACCAGTGGCTCTGGGCTGACTCAGAACCCTGTTGCTGTGGCAACCATGTAAACCGACAGCTTCTGGAATCCAACAGAGCAACTGCCAATTTTTGAATGAAAACTAGTCTAAGCTTTCACAAGGCTCAGTGTTTACATAATCTGGGCTTCCAGTTGCTTTCCTGGCTTAGACGTGGCAGCGTGACGGCAGGCATGCCTTCCTTTGAGAACACCTGCAAAGTTGGTGAAGTATCACGTTCACTTCTTGTAAACACAAAACACCGGTTCCTCTTTGCGTCCCTCATGGGCTCCTTCACTCTTCTTTTTCACTTCCGCTGCTAGCTGATCAGGAAAGTTCATTCCCAGCATCTCCCAGAATGAAGGTTCTTGAGACAGGAGTTGATGCTGATATCTGGGCTGGGCTGATGGGAGCTGCTCTTCTGCCAGTGGCCAGAAATGGTCTCCTGGGTCGCCAGCTTTCAGGAACCCCTCGGTCTCTTGTCTCTGTGTGAAGGGTGGAGACTTCCATTCACCTTCTCTAGGTTGGAAAAGATAGGGGTCCAGTTCCCAGTTCCAGGGATCTCCATTTCTGGAAGACTTTGCAGGGGACATTTTGGACAACAGCTGACAATCTGAAGTAGGCAATCCAAGACTAACACATACACATACCCGCCATGATTCAGTGAAAGCTGAATGTTCACATCCCCCTCCACAAAAGTTCCTCATGTCACTTGGCAGACAACCTGAGAGCATTCCAAGAAAGCACTGGTGATCCTGGATATATTTTCTGTCCTAAAAGCTCCAACTGTCCTCCGAGAGGCTTTGCTGGAATGAGCCACAACTGACTGGTCACACACTGACCACATTCTGGGGCAGTTGCAGGGCTTATCTGGAAGCTAGGTGCCAAAGAAGCATTGGTCTTTGTTTCTGAAGAATGAGAGGAGTTCCCCACAGCCCAACCATATTCAGCTGCAGAGCTCGAAGAAATTACTTTCAGGGAGGATAACTCACAGCATCCCAAACATAGCACGGCCACCTAAGATCATCTTAGATGTCAACCACAGAGTTCTTTGTGTACCTGTTGTTGATCCTCCCCTCCTTCCTCCCCTCCAAGCCCTCCACATCTCCTGCAAGGCTAAGGATATATGAGCAACCCCATTTTTTCTTTCCATTCACCACTTCCCAACTTTGTGTCCTCTCCTTCCCTTTTCTTTGAGGATTACAAACTATGTGGATTTAGATGTGAGGCTCCTTGAAGGCAGAGACCTAAGTTTTGTTTGGCTATAGGAAACATTGTTGATGGCCGTGCATCTGCTATTGGGGTCATGGCTGGCAGGTAAAAGAGTCTTCCTCTGTTGGGGTGCCTGCACAGCAGGAGCACAGGGATCACCTCCTGACATACTAGAAGAGAGAATGAAGAGCAACAAATTAACATTGTGGGAGGCAAAGATGTTTGGGTGGAGTTAGCGCCCACATGGACTATTGCTGAGAGATCATGATTCTGAACTGGCCCAGGCAGTTTCTTTCCAAATTCCCATATCTGTTAATGAAAGGATGAAGTAGTGGTTTGGTCCTGGGGGGGTAGGTTAGGGGGGGAGTTGATCTTTATCCATCCCTTTGGATGCTTGTATGGGGAGGAGGGACCTGGCATTCCCTCCCCCCCCCACATCCTGTTTGGCTGCTCTAAAGGGCCACTGTGTTGCACTAGGATATCTCAAAACATTCCCCACTGGTTCAGGCAGAAACAGTGAGAGAAGGTCAACTTTTCCCCTCCCCATATTATTGGCACTATTTGGATCTCCTGCACCTGTCCGGGACCCAGACTCTTTTTAAGGAAGTGGATGAGTCCAGCCAATCCCCATTGATTTTTATTTTTAGGTCAATTTGTTTCTGCCAGAAATAATAGCAGAAGCAGCATCCAAGAGTTGGCACCTTCACCTGTCCCACTCTAACAAGGAGTGGAATAATTATTTTCCCTTCTAAACTGTGAGTGGATCGTTTTAAAATCCCAGCCTGTCAATGTGAGTATGTAGTTATCTTTGGGACTGGGATCACTGGCAAAAATAGCTGGTGGCCAGTAAGGCACATCCTATCACAGATGCTTTGACCAGTTAAATTGAACTGTCTGGACCTTGTTGCTGTTTTTATTCTGAGAGGCTTTTAGGGGGAGGGGAGGTGCGTTTCTTGGGGGAGTGTCATTTGATTGTTCAGAGTACTTTGCTTTAGTTTGATCTAAAATCACTAGGAGCTTGGTCTGTCTTTTCTCCCTTTAAAGCACATACATATATTTACAATGTACATATATACAGTGTATGCATATATGTGTGCTTGTGTGTGTTTATTACCAGAGAGAGAGAGAGAGAGAGAGAGAGAGAGAGAGATGCACTTTAAAAATGCATCAACGTATTTGAGGTTTTGGAGCTTTCTATGGAGGGGGATTCCTTCCTTTCTTGTTCTTTTATTTTTATTCCATTTTTAAAATGTCTTTTATTTTGCTTTATTTTTATCTGAAATTTGTTGGGGCTTGCTCTGTCTTTTTTCCATTTAAGGCAGCAGCGGGGTGGTGGTGGTGAAGAAACCCTGAAGGAACCATGTCGGTAGGAACAATTCTACCTCCGCTCTTAAAAAAAGGGGCTGAGGGTGGTAGGTGCCTGCTTGGACTAGGAATTTTTTGTTGCTTTATTCCATTAATTTTTTTTATTTTGCTTTCTTTTTATAGAGATTTGCTCTGTCTTTTTTTTCACTTAAAAGCTGTGTGTGTGTAAATGTTAATATTGCTGTTGCAGAGTTTTGAATTTCTGATACACTTCAGCTTTTGCTATGCAAGAGAAGTACAGAGATCTACAGAGGAGGATAGCTGTGGCGTTCCTCCTTTGTGCCCTTTATATCTCTGGGCTCTACAAAGGTAAATACACCTTTTTCCGCTGCCACCAGGTATTATCCTAATACCAATTCAGGTCCACACACAGGAGCTGTCATCCCAAAGGGTCATATAATTTTAGGAAGCAAGGGTTTTAAATAAATTTTCTTTTATTATTGAACAAAATCATAAGGAGAATCAAAACTGTGTAATATGTTCATGTGTATTAAATCAGGTGTTAAAGTATATCAGATCATGTTAATATTTCTCTTGTTATACTAAGGCGTTCATTCCTGATTGTTCAATATATTTTACTTTTTCAATTTCCTTTCTTAACCCCTTTTTGCTATTCCTAAACCCTAGCACTCCCTCAATATCTTCTGGTCCCTAACTCTCTCTAAACCTCCCTCTCTCATTCATTCCAACTCCTAACTGTCTCCCCCAGCTGTTCCAACTGTCATTCTGACTCCGCCCCTCCTGCTCCATCCCCTGATTGACATGCAGGAATGGCGTCATACTTTGGGTTCCGTTACACCTAGTTTTTTTATTTTGTTTTTATTTTTGAAAGTGCTTGGGTCTTTTTAAGTTAAAAAAAATAGATGGCTACGTTTATTTCATCGGTAGCAGAAATTTCCTCTCCCCACTTGAAAAAAGGAAAAGGTTGGTGCCTGCTTGATCTAGCTGTTGCTGCTACCTAAGGATATTGTTTCTGGTGATGCACAGGCCGAAGCACCCAGAAAATGCAGCTTTAAAAAAGAAAAAAAGAAGCTACTTTAGTTTTCCATAAAACCCGAAACACAATACTAAGGGACGTCTCTCTGCTGTCCCCGCAGTACATGTGGGGAAAAATTATCTCTCAGGGGTAGTTTTGCTGTTATGAGGCAAAATCTATCCCACCTCCCCTCCAACAACTCATAATGTCTCCTTTTCTCCGTGCATACGAGTACTACACAAGGATTTGGGGCATCTTTTTCCCCAAAAGTAAATATTTTACTGAGAACAATCCTAGATTCAAGCAGTTCAAATGTTTTTTTTTTTTTTTTAAAGCGACACAGCCGGAGCTGAGAAAGCCTCTCCTGCGAGCAGAGGAGAGGCGTTGCCGCTGCTACAATAACCAATGAAAGGAGGCCTTCAGAGTTCAGGGGTTACAGCAGAGCCCCTTGAGGAAAACTACACCTCCCAGCGGGCTGTGCGCCGCGGGGGAAAGAAAATGCCCACAGGCCCTCTAGGGTCCTGCGTCCTTTGTCGCTGAGAGATGACGTCATGTCATGGCGGTGTGGTAAGGGAATATTCTGTCTGTCCGGCCTTGTTTCGCCCTTTCTTTCTTCCGGAATTTAAAGCCTACGAGGCTGCTTCTCCTCTTCTGCCCTTCCCTTCTCTGCCGCCGCCTCTTCCTCTTCCTCCTTCGCAGGCTTCGGGGGCGCCCCTCGTCATTAGTCAAAAGCCTTGCCAGAGAGCTCTGCTCTGCTTTACTCTTAGGATTTTTAATTTGCACTAATGATAATAGTTTTCCTTTTCTTAACTCCCATCTTTCTTTTTTTGGTGGATTATGATGTTTGTATCCTGGGCTTATTTTTCAATGAAAAATTTAAAAATAAAAAGAATTAGTTTTAAACTTGCATCGTCAGCTTAATTAATGCCCACCACTGGGATGGTTATTTATGAGAGATGCATTTGGACGTTGATGAGTAACGTGGTTTTGTCGTCAGGTTGTTGCTTTGCCATGTACCAAAGGAAGTGTGTTTTCTCGATTCTGGTGACCTTTTTACTAGAAAAAGTGGCCTTAAACCAGGGTGGGCAAACTGCACCTCCAGGACACTGATGGACATTTTTGGGGGTGGTAGTGGTGAATTGAAAAAAGAACAACCCCCACCCCATTTTAAAGAGATTCCAGTAGGAATTATTTTTGTATTATGTAGGTTGGTGATCAGATTGCCAGACTTAAAAAAAAAAACCCACTAAAAATCGATGCCAGAAGTGGCTGGAATTTCCCCTCTCCTCCTGTTTTAAGTGTGCCCTGTGCCGGCTGGGTGCTAGGAGCAAACAGATGCCCATTCTTGCCCTCCTCTTTACCCCACAAACCCTCCTGGTTGCTCACGCTGAACGCTCTGGGCATTCTCCTCAGCGCCCTGATGTGCTGACGCTGGAGAGCTTGGTTGAAGCAAAAGACTGGCCCAACCAAGAGCCACCAGCACGAGAGCCCTGAAGCGGCCTCTGTCAGCGACCCAGCCCAGAGCAGGAGTGACCAGTGGCTCTGGGCTGGCTCAGAACCCTGTTGCTGCGGCAACCATGTAAACCAACAGGCTCTGGAATGCAGCACAGCAACTGCCAATTTTTGAATGAAAACTAGTCTAAGCTTTCACAGGGCTTGGTCTCTTGTCTCTGTGTGAAGGGTGGAGACTTCCATTCACCTTCTCTATATAGGAAAGGGAAGTTAGTCTCCTATACTGATTGTCTGAGAGAAGGTACTCAAGACAAAGACAAAACACAGTTTGAATATTGCTGAATTGGCACTGACATGACTTTTGTTTTTCTTCTAAACAGGCTTGATGGGGAAAGATGAGAGTCCTTAACGCACCACAGTGTTATAACTTCATTGGCCGAAATCTTACTGCTGGTGTGGCATAAATGACATAATATTTGGTGTAAGTCTTGTTTCTATTTACAAAACCTATTTTATCATACTGTGGCATGTACTGAATCATGCAACTCCATGTAGAACAACTGTTATCTACATTTACTGCATAACTTGCAGCCATTCACTACCAAGAATTATGCCATTTATGTTGTGCTGGCAGTAGGATTTTGACTGTTTTATTTTATGTTATAGTTATAATGTGATTCCATAGCGTAGTAAAGAAGAAACAACCAGAGACACCTCTGTGAGAATTTTGTAAATTATGCAAGCACAGTGGCTGAAAGGCTTAGTAACTGTAAGGCAGATAATTAAAACATCTCCTTTTAATATTTCACTTTATAAATGTAGTATTACCCTTTCAAATGGGTAATACTACAGGGAGCTTTTAGAACCTCCCTGATCAATCCTAATTCCTCAGCTAAGGACTGGATGGATGGGGTGGAAAAGTTATGCTAATAGTGTAGTACTAGCTAGGGACGTGGTGGCGTTGTGGGCTAAACCGCAGAAGCTTGTGCTGCGGGGTCAGAAGACCAAGCAGTCGTAAGATCGAATCCACGCGACGGAGTGAGCACCTGTCGCTTGTCCCAGCTCCTGCCAACCTAGCGGTTCGAAAGCATGTAAATGCGAGTAGATAAATAGGGACCACCTTGGTGGGAAGGTAACAGCGTTCCGTGTCTAAGTCGCACTGGCCATGTGACCACGGAAGATTGTCTTCGGACAAAACGCTGGCTCTATGGCTTGGAAACGGGGATGAGCACCGCCCCCTAGAGTCAAACACGACTGGACTAAAAATTGTCAAGGGGAACCTTTACCTTTACCTATAGCACTAGCAGTTTTTCCACCAGTAGTAGGAGCTATATTGGATCTCTGGAAGTGGGTTGGAAAAATAGCCATGATCTGCTGTATTTTTTGGTAACTGAAAAGACCAAGAGCCACTTAGAAGGTTAAAGGTGAAATTTACCTCCTGATCTGGCCAGAGTAAGACTTTTTGAACAAGCTGCAATGTGAATCCTCTCACCTCAGTCCCTTTGAATATAGCTCTATTAATCATGTTTCAAACTAATCATTATGCATTTCAACTATTTGAAACAAGCTTGGCTTTTATGAAATACTTTTTTCAGTTAGGGTGAGAAGAGAAAATAGGTCTGGCAGGATATTTTGTCACCATAGCCACTGTACTGTGCAGTATGGTTGAGACTAGAGATAGGGGTATTTGTATATGAATACAAATATCCCTGTGCAGCTGGACTTAATGAGGGTCCGTCCCCTGGGGCTGGACCGCCAACTCACACGTCCAGTCACGGCGGCTTTGCTTGTCCTTCCAATCACTTTTGGAGTGCCGCTCTCTTCCCACTCGGCTGGCCACTTGGCAGCCATGCAGGGAGACTTGTCCTCCCTCCCCTTGCCTGGAGTGGCCAGCCGAACGGGAAGAGAGAGGTGCTCTGGAAGTGATTGGAAGGATGGGCACCACCACTGCCAGATGCATGAGCGGATGGTCCGGACCGAGAGGCTGGGCTCTCGTTAATCCCAGCTGTGTGGCAATATTTGTATACAAATAAAAATACCCCCCATCTCTAGTTGAGACCGGATATTATTTTTTGTTCTCCTACCCACCAGTTCCCATGTCCTCATAAGTTAGGTGCTCTGCGTGGCCAATATGTTTGCAGAGCTGAATGTTAACTAATTATCTTAATTTTGATAGTTCTAGATGCTTCCTGTGTGTATCTGTGTTCTATATTTTGAGAGTAAGCTCTTTCTACTAGTGTCCTCAGCATATTTGCAGACAAGATTTTAAAAAAATACATAAATATTACTGTTTGTTTTGTTTGTTTTCTCTTAGCAAGGTGCATTTATGTTTCGTGCCTTAATGTTTTAATTTTTTCTTCCCAACAGATTAGCATTGATTTCTCTTAAGTTAAAGATGGGAGTTCAAGGACTTTGGAAGCTCTTGGAGAGCTCTGGAAGACCTATTAGTCCAGAAACACTGGAAGGAAAAATCCTTGCTGTCGGTATCCTTAAGAGTAAAAGATAAGCCTCTCAATGCTTGGTTATTTTAAACACCAGAACAAAATTTTCTCAAGAACTTCCTGTCAGAAGTAGAACCACAGTGGGTCTGATCTATAAGCACAGTGGTGAAGTGCATACTCACATTTGTATCTGTGATTGGTCCAGATCTCTCCTGGGAATGATCCATAGCTCTCTTCAGGTATAATAAAACCCGATACTGTCTGCGTGCTTAGAAGGCAGTGCCAAGTCCCACCCTGTGTCCCTGTCATCACATTCTTCACAGTTTTGGTGCCATGATCTGACAAAGGAATTTCATTTTTTCTAGAGTTTTTAACTCCTGTGTAGACTCTTCAGACCCGTTGGTGAAACTGTTATGAATGTCACAATGGAAGGGGGTGGGGCTACTGACTCTGACCTGTGTGGTCCCTGTGTCAGGTTGCATAATGCCTAAGTAGGCCTTGTGAGGTCCAGGCATTTGCTTCCTGTAGGCAGCAGGAAACAGGTGCCTGGACCTCACAATCTGATCCAGCATGGCTTTCAAAAAAATTCTGCAAGGGAAAACTTTTAGAATCTATTTATTAAATGAATTTTATTACTATTGAGGACGCCAGTGTTTTTTTTAAAAAAATACTGATTTTAAAAGATCAAGTTACATTGTCTTGTTAATTAAGCAAAGTAGAAAGAGAAACTGTTTACACATTCTTTTTCTCTGGATTAGTTTGGTTATCAGTACAGTGGTGCCTCGCTTAACGAGTGCTTCGCTTAACGATGAATTCGCATAACGATGGCCTTTGCTGGAAATTTTGCCGCCTCACCTAACGATGTTTCCTATGGGGGATTTTCGCATAACGATGTTTGGGACCTTGCTTCACTTAACGATGACAGTTTTAGGTCCCCTGTTTCGCTTAAGTTTTTTTTTGACAGCCCTGTTTTCGCTATTTTAAAAATATTCTAAAATGTTTAAAAAATGTTTAAAATGCTTGGAATCGTTAGTGCACCTAATAAAACCTTTGTTAAAGTAATTTGGCTTCGTTCTGGGTCTTTTTGAATTTTTGGTGATTTTTTTTTCACCATTGAAATGTATTGAATAGGCTCCTATTGGAACGGATTAACTGGTTTTCAATGCATTCTTATGGGAAATGGTGTTTTGCTTAACGATGTTTTCACATAACGATGTTTTTTGGGAACCAATTAACATTGTTAAGCGAGGCACCACTGTAATTAATGAAGGCTGATGAATCATTTCCATTGCCCTAAAGATGCCTTTCTTCCTCCTTCCTATTACATTCATCCACTACATTCATCCTTGGTAATCCAGTCATAAAGGGTTTTCTAAGCAGTTTTTTAAACAAAAGGGGAATGGGTGCTCAGCAGTGGCAGATTCCACTCCTTCCCCCCAATTCTGCTGTCAGGAGCTGGTTTTGTCAGTGCAAGGGCACCTTATGATCCTGTCCATTGTTAGTTTAGTAGCTGCACTGCCTTTCTTTAAAGATAAAATAATACAATTTTCTCTTTATTTATCTTAAATTGCTTGTGAAATGTGTGTAGAAGCTATGCTTGTTCCCTGGGATTCCTTTCAAGGTTGTAGTAGAAACCTATGCTCTCCATTTACTGCTCCCATAATGCCTCATTAGGCTCGCTGGAGTTGATGGAAACTAGAGTCCAACAATATCTGGAATGCCACAGGTTTCCCAGCCTGGTCTTAAGCATTAATAAATAAATAAAAATTGTGGATGCATATTTTCTTGGGGCAGACTTTGTTTTATCAGGTCCATGCAATGAACATTCTTCTGTTGTTTGTTTATGAGTTATCAACTTCTCCACTTGTCTTCCTATGAGTGCCCTGCTAAGATATCAGTATTTGGTTGAATCAAGCTATTAAAGGTGCAAGGGACCGCCATGGATATTCCATCCGCAGTGCTCACCTCCTTACTTTGTTCCACCGACTTTGCAAGCTGCTCTTCTTTCGGATCCGCCCTGTCTTTGTTTTTGATGGAGAAGCACCACTTTTGAAGAGACAGACTTTGGTATGTTCTTTGTATGATCTTGCTACACACTGAACTCCGCAGAGTTTTGCAACTTACAGTGCAATCCTGCCCCCTTATGAAATTGGTAATCATAGTTCAGTGGGTCTGACTTCAGTCTTACAGTGCCTTCCTAACTGGAAGGCCAAGGGCCAACTGAGCCTTCTCCTTGCGAAGTGCTCCTAACCTAGGGATGGTAGAAGCTAGAATTATCTTCATCCTGGCCAGATGTTGACCTGGTGTTGTCCCTGTGGAGGGTCTCTGTGCTGGAGAAGGTTTAGATCAGACATGACTCAATTCCTCCCTTGCTCCAGTTCTTCTCTGCCCCTTCGACTTTGATTAGGAGATTTTTGCCAGCAGAACTTTTCTGAAAGGCAGTGTGCCATCAGAGTTGTGAAATAAGACAGAGAAGGGTTTCTAGTGACAGAACAAGTTTGTGCTTAGTCCACCTAACCCTTACAGGCAGCATATTTTTGGCTGTGGATTGCACTGTTAGAGAAGTAGAATTGTCACATAACAAATGAGTAGCACCTTGGTAATTACATCTAAACGGAAGAGCAGAAAGGAGAAACTGCCATGCAGTGTATCTCTCTCTGTAGGTCTCATTTAGGGAAACAGATACTCAGTTACCATATAATCCCTTCTTGATGGAGTACAGGGTAATGTAAGAACTTATATAAAAAGAGGCACTTTTGGAAATACTGCTATCTTAGGTGGTATGGGGCAAAAATTTGGGAAAGTAGCATAATTGTGTTACACAAAATTTTCTTTTGTGAATATTTTTGCAGGCTAAGCGAAGACAGCGAAAAGAAATTGCAGTCAGTGACTCCAAGAAAACGACAGAAAAGCTTTTGAAAACTTTCCTAAAACGACAAGCTATCAAAACTGCTCTAGCAGGCAAGAGGCAAGAGAAGAGCTTCTATATATGTGTCTGTGTTTTCAACTCTTGCTGTACATTTTTCAATAATAAGGGACATCTCTTACTTTTTCAGCAATGCAAAGTTCCCTAGCCTTTCAGAAATAAGAAGAGAAGAGGTGGATGACATTTATGTCCTGCCGTCTTTGCAGGAAGACAAAAGAAACAGGTCAGTGATACAGGATGAAGGTTTACAATGACACACAAACATTAAAACACAACTGAGCAAAATACCCTTAGAAATTGAAGAATGTTTTGATACTTAGCAAATCACCACTTTTATTTTTGTAATGTAGCTCGGAAGAGGAAGATGAGAAGGAGTGGGAGGAGAGAATGACCCAGAAAAAGATACTGCAAGTAATGCTCTTCATATTTCTTACGTTTCAGTATCCATTTTTGCCATTGTTTTTGAATAGATGAGGAATATTAGAATGAAGGCCATTAATAAGGCTGGAATGAAACTCTAGTTCTAAAAACCGTGTTTCAGAACTAGTATTTCCCCCCCCCCAACAGCAACAATATAGGGCTGTAAAAGTCCTTGGCTGGAGACACTTTTGAGTCACCTTTATTCAGACTGGACCAAACAGGGCTTGTTGGACCACCAAATGGAAAACATACGTGGCAGCTACATATGATTATATTTTGGGCTTATAACCAATGTTGTGGTAGCAGCAAAAGTAAAAGTGATGGCTGTGTTGTGCTACCTTGTGTGCGAGCACAAGCAAAAGTGTCACTTCTCTGCTTTTGGGCTACGTGCATTCTGTAGCCTCAATCTTATCTTCAGAATTGGCAAAAGTAGCACAAACAGTACTACCCTAGTGAAATCCAAGTGAGTTCTGGAGTGGCTTGGGCAGGTGGAGTCACAACATTAGATCTGAAGCTTGTGCAAGGATGAAACCTGAGTCGAAGCTTTCTGCTAGTAGAAATACACCATTGGGTCAAAGCTTTTGCCCTAGGTTTTTTAGAAAGACCTACGGTGAACATACTGAAAACATGATTTTGAAGACTTGGGGCTTGTCGGAAGCTCACCTTGCTGCAGTTACAGTTCAGGCAGCATGCATGCATGCAGAGACTTGGAAGAGCCCTGTAGGGAGAAGCCGTGCACAGATTTTATGGGATGAAAAGCTTCTACACAGATATTGGGTTTACCGAAAAATTGGATGCTCTGAATATTGTTTGTTTACATGAAATGCCTGCAAAATATTTGATAGGACAAGTGAACCAGGGTAGCATGACAAGAAAAGATTGATCTGTGAGTCAGGAAGTCTAGATTTGCCTGTGTCCTGAGCTCACTTAGTGGGCATAAGAGGAACTATGCAGGAAGGCATTTGGTGTGTTCCTACTCCGTCCACCTTTTTCCTGTACTGATCAGCCTGCTGGCCCTGCAAAGCCTGCCGGCACCTGCCCATTTAGATCTCAACCAACTGGTAATTAGAGGCACATCGCCTAGAGGTTGGAAGCTATTTATGTTAATCCTCTCCTCCACAGTATAATATTAATGGTAGCCTATCATTGTAAGAATCCATGTGGTGGAATGCAGGGGTCCACAACACCCGGTCCGTGGCCCAGTACCAGGCTGTGGCCTTGGCAGGACCAGGCCACGGAGACAGATCTTCCCTCCCACCCCTGCACACATTCCACCCATGCCCGCCCACCCACGCAAGTGTATCCCGGCCACCCATGCATGCGTGTGAGTGCGCCCCCACCCACCCGCGAGCGTGCCCTGCCCACCCCTGAGCACAGGGGTGCCCCGCCCTGTGCTTGGACCCCGCCCGGTCTGTAGTTTGGAAAAGTTTGGGGACCACTGGTAGGTATGAATCCCCATTCAAGCATGGAAACTCACTTGGGGGTGTGGAACTGGTAAAGCCAATCCTTAAATATCTTAGTTACCTTGAAAGCCCTATTAGGACCACTACAAGTTGGTTCTGAGTTGATAGCACATATCATAATATGATTGTAAGAACTACCGTGATATAAAACATTGTCACTGCAGTCAAGTATTATTCTTATTTTGCAATGATAGACTTGTTGGATCCAGTCAAAGATCAATTTAGTATTTTCAGTCATAACCACAGTATGGATTTGGGACATCTTATAAGGAGAGTGCAATGGGAAAAAAAATCTGCCATTGAAGAACAGCAATGCATTGCAACTAGTGTAGGTCCATTGAACAGGTGGAGTTTTAGTGAATCATCTCCTCTAAGTTCTATTGATTTAGTACACTTACTCTAGTTGTGACTTACTATGCTAACGAAACAGATTTTGCTGATTCTGTCCACAAGTATGCAATAAGGCAGAATGCTAAGCTTGCAGTTTTAGGAAGGCACCAGGAAAAGACACACACATACACATAACGTGTAAAATTTTACAAATATTTGAATTTTTATAAAATTTTAAAAAGTGCTGTTTCCTTGTGTGTTTCTTCAGAGGAATAGAGAGAATCTGACAATTGTGAAACTGGATATATTCATGTATATGTATGTGTTCTTTAATGCACTTGTTTTAAGGCACTTGTCTTACAAATACATACATTTTGTTTACTGTCCTGTCTTGTTTTATATAGGAAGAATTATGTGAAAACCCTCATTCTGTGGATGTTGAATCAGAAGATTTCCAGAGCTTGCCCCCTGAAGTTAAGCATGAAATTCTCACTGACATGAAGGAATTCACAAAACGAAGACGGACTCTTTATGAGATAATGCCTGAGGTAATGCACAGGCTTTAATTTGGTCAATCAGAAGAGAGAGCCTTGCCACTGACAGAGCTATTAGGAAACTCTCTATTGTCAGGCTGGGAGTTTGCATGAAAATAAAAGGGCAGTGGTTCTGCACTGGTGGGATTTCAGTGTCAGAAAACTGAAACTGGCTGAAATCCAGTAATAAGTCACAGTTAGAGTAGTTCCAATCAGTGGAATGTACAGAGGAGTTGACTCAACAAATTCAGTGGGCCTACTCTAGTTGTAACTTAGTGTTGGATTTCATCCACTGTGTTTGAGTTTTAGAGCCAAGGCAACTTGTGAGAAAGGGCAAAGTTTTATACTGATTCAGTTGTCATCCTGTTACCATCACCTACATTTACTACAGATAAAGTAATAAAGTATAGGCGAACCACCGGTTTGGCAGTTTGTCCCGGTTTGTTTACCACCGCAACAGGTGTTTGGTGGTTCAGTGCCCAGCCCTCCCCTCTGGCAGGTGCCCACTTGGAAGCAGCATCGCAGCTTCCCTGTCCCACCTCCTCCACGTATTGCTTCTGAGTGGGCCGCCTGCTGGAGTGGGCAGGGTGCTGAACCGCCAAACACCTTCTTGCACTGGTGGATGAACCGAGCCAAACCAGCTGTTCATGCCCTTTTCTAATTACAAATAAAAATGCAAATCTTGGCTTTCCTGGCTGTTTCTTGCATTGTCTTTAGAGCTAATTTCTTGGCAAACTTTCTTATGGGCTAAGGACACTATACAATTCTTCCGTTTCATTTTGAGGGTCAAACCTACCCAACTGTGTGTTTTTCTGTAACATTTTATTCCTGTTAAGTAGATTTGTAGTGAGTGAGTAGACTGAATGCTTAAACCTCAGAAATTGCCAACAGTCCTTTATGAAAAGAGACATAGTGACCTTCATTAAGACTTACCTGTCATTCAGTTATGGAAGAAGACATAATGACCCTCACTGAGACCCACTTGTAATTTTTCCCCGCATGTGCTATAGTTCTGTGTCTGCTCTCCTTTAGAATGATCCCTAAGATCTCAGTAGACAATATTTTTGAGTATACACTTATAGGAACACAATGCAAATTAGAGGAACTAAGTTAAAACCAACAAGCGTTCCAGAGTTCTCCTCTCATATCTGTCTGACTTCCCTTTCCCTCTCCCCTGTTTGCAGAGTTCAGGGGCCCTACGGAGAGAAGCACCATATGAAGTTGCTTGGAAGCCCTGCAGAGAAATGTATCTTCCAGACTTTCCTCCAACTTAGTCCTTGTTGGTTAGGGAATGACTGGTAGCTAGTGACTGATGCTGGTACTATATGCTACAAGAATATTTTAATTACCGTAATTTTTCATGTATACGACCCCCCCAATGTATAGGACGACCCCCTAATTTTTACACTTGCTGGAGGCAGAGGAGTTGTCAATAGGCAGCCGCAAGAGGCGGTGGAGTGCGGCTGCTCCTTTGCCTCCGTCTCCACCTCCTGCTGCTGCTGCTGAGCCTGTGAGTGGTGCTGGAGGAGACTGCAGCAGCAGCAGGAGACAGAGACTGAGGCAAAGAAGCAGCCGCACTCGGCTGCCTCTCGTGGCTGCCCATTGACTGCTGCCACTGGCGCCGGATTGCCTCCTCCAGCAATTGTCTCCTTTGGGCAGGGGACAAGGCAGCGACATGAGCTGGAGGTAAGCCCTGGCAGAAGGAAAAGGTGATTGATGATGGTGGCGGCAGTCAATGGGCGGTATATAAGAACCTCCATGTAAGGAGAAAATGTTCTGCTCCACAGTAACTATTCCAAAGCCAGCTGATAATTTTCATGGTTCTACATTCTAAATAATGGACATGGTTGTTGGTATCCAAACAAGGAAGATGCAGTTGTTTGAAGAAAGTGATGATAATTGCATTTCATGTTGACTTCTGATGTATTTCCTTCTGTTCTTACAAAGTGAATACATTTGCCTGGCAAATGCAGAAAGCTCAGCTCATTAATTACTGTCTTTTGATTAAAGGAATCTGGTGACTTCTCTCAGTACCAGCTCAAAGGATTGCTTAAGAAAAGCAGCTTAAATCGACACATAGAAAATGTGGAGAAGGAGATGAATGAACAGCACTCAGGTCAAATTCAAAGCCAGTATGAAAATGAAGGGGGCTTCCTGAAGGAAGTGGAAACTAGGAGGGTTGTGTCTGAAGATACTTCCCACTACATTCTGATTAAAGGTAATGCTGCAACAATTCTACAGTTTTAGAAGGATGTTGATCGTTACTTAATGCACAGCATGGTGCCAAAATGAAAACAAATGAATTATAACAAATGTCATAGCATGACTGGTATGTGGTTTTAAATCTTGCATTATTTGATTATGCCAGGCCTGTACCCATCCACAAATCACGCAGTGGTGATCACTTTTCTCTTTCAGGGATCCAGTCCAAAACAGAGACTTCCAAAGATCTGGAAACATCATCTACAGGCCATTCTTCTTCAGTGTCTGAAGATTCAAAGCCTGGTGTTATTAAGACTCCAGCTAATTTAAAGCCACCCGCATGTGATCTGAAGACCACACCAACCAGCAGTACCTATACAACACCTCCTTCTCCTAGAACAGTACTTGCTATTCAGACAGCTATGCTAGGAAGTAGTTCGGAAGACGAGAAGGAAGATGAAAATGAAAATAAGTTTGATAAATGCAGGTCTGGTCCTAATACAGATGCAGGCAACATGTCTCCAAGAACATTAAGGGCTATTCAGGAAGCTTTATGTGAGGAGGAAGAGGATGTTAGACCAGCTTTTATACACAACACAGGAACTAGTCAAGAAGAAAGACCTTCTGTGAAGGACTTTCTTGCCAGCAGCTCTGATGAGGAGGACCAGGTACCTGATGCCCAGAGTGGAAAACAACTTCCATTTTTACCTACAGGACAATCCAAAAATACAGCCATTAACCAAGAGAATGGATTGGATAAAAGAAAACCTGTGTTGGAAAAGGATCAAAGTGTTCCTGAAAGCCCATATGTTCATTTTGTGGGAAAACACCCTTCTTCTGAGTCAGATAAGAAAGAAAGAGGTGTGGAAACACAGATATCTGACATAGGTCTAGCATCTGTGCCGGATGACAGTCCAAGTAGTTACATGCATCAGACAGTAAGGTCTTTGACACAGCCCTCGCCAGCTGACCTCACTCATTCAGCTTTTGCAGAGTTCGCCCCAAGCAAAAATGTTGAACATTTAAAGGAATCCGTTCTTGGGCAAGAAAAAAGTGTACCTCTTGTGCCACGTGAGCTCACTTCAGAAACGGCAAGATTTCATGAAGAAAGAATGGCACGACAACTGCAGTCTGAAGAGAGTGATTCTGATGGTATGTAGGCTGTAAATAAAAATGATAATCTGCACAGCCACCAGGAGTGTAATGGCAGGTGGAAGAATGGTTCTAGGGAATCCTGTGGTCTTCGTGCTCCGGAGGGTGCATTTTTAGGGTTCTTTTAGAGGCTGATTTGAAGATGCTGCATGCAGGAAGCTGTCTGTTTTCCTTCTTGAATTATTTTAGCACTGTGGATTTTAATTGGTTTTAGCAGTTAAGGCTGTGGTTTGGTTTTACTGAAAGAGAAGTGAAGAATGGCATTTTAAATATGTTTAGATTTGCATAGCAGAGCATCAGCTGAAATCTGTAGCAGGATTCTAGCACCACAAAGTGTATGAGGAGGTGTATACAAGAAGGATACCACCCAGGACAAAACTTTACACCTAAATGATTAATATTTCCTCTTTCGAAAGGCAACATTGAGTAGTTTCCTTTAAAACCTGTGTGGATGTGTATATGAGGGGGTGGGAATTGTCCATAACATGATTATGCTGTAACATAACATTACTGAAATTCTGTTACGCAACTTTACACTGTATAAGGCTAATAAGGTTTTTTTTTTAATTTTGGAATTTCTGATCCCTTCCCAAAGATTCCAAGGTCCCCTTGGGATCCCTTTCATTGTGGAGAAGCCATTTGAAAGTCATGCGGTAGGTGAGGATAATCTTTAATTTCTGAAAACTGAAGACTTCTTTGCCAGTGGGATGGTTCTACTGGCACCTGTGATTTTCAGAAATACAGTGGTGCCTCGTATAACGAGTGCCCCGTTTAATGACGAATCCGCATAGCGATGGCTTTTTTGCCATCGCTTTTGCGATCCCATTGCGATGTTGCCTATGGGAAAAAATCGCTTTGCGATTTTTCCCCATAGTCCCATTTTTCCCCAGCTGAGTGGTGGGAGCCTCTGAAGGACCGCTCCCGCTGCTCAGCTGGGGGAAAATGCGGGCGGTGGCCTTGGAAGGACCCTTCCGAAGGGTCCTTCTGATGCCACCGCAGGCATTCCCCTTCGGAGGGGGCATTTTCTCTGAGCTGAGTGGGAGCCCCGCCGCTCAGCTGGGGGAAAATGTCGGCGGTGGGCGGCGGCCTCGGAAGGACCCCAAAGCCATCGCTGACCGCTGACATTTGCTTTCCGAGCTCTCAAAGGGCCCCCCTCCGACATTGGAGAAAGCCCTTTGAGAGCTCGGAAGGCTCTCAGCAGTGGCGGGGGCAGGGAGCAGCGAGGGGTGCTTTGGCTGGCTCGCTCCTCCCGGGGTGGAGGAGGTGGCACGGGAAGGGAAAGGGCCGGGCGCCTGGCTCGCCTTCTCGCGCTTCACCTCCTCCCCTTCTCCAAAGGCTGGCCACCGGCCAGCTTGTCCTTTCCGGGGCTGCGGAGGAAGAAGGAGGGAGGGAACGAGCCCCAGCGCGGCCAGGCACCTGGCTCGCCTTCTCTCGCTTCATCTCCTCCCCTTCTCCAAAGGTTGGCCACCGGCTGGCTTGTTCTTTTCGGGGCTGCGGCGGAAGAAGGAGGGAGGGAACGAGCCCCAGCGTGGCCGGGCGCCTGCCTCCCCGTCTCCCACTTCACCTCCTCCTCTTCTTCGGGAGGCTCCTTAGGAAGCGCCCGCAGGCCAGCTGGGGGGAAATGCCAGCTGACTGGCGGTTCCAAAATGGCCGCCCGCTGTTTTCTGGACGGATTCCTCGCTTACCGAGGCGGCGAAAATGGCCGCCCCTATGGAGGATCCTCACTGAACGGTGGGTTTTTACCCCATAGGAACGCATTAAACAGGGTTTAATGTGTTCCTATGGGGTTTTTCTTTCTGTTTAGCGATGTTTCCGGATAGCGATATTAATCCTGGAACAACGTAACGTCGCTGTGCGGGGCACCACTGTAAAAAGATATCTGTCCACTCGACAGTAGCCCTCAATGGCTTCTGTACGATGAAAGAGGTCTCATGGGGGCATCGGAACCTTTGAGGTGGTGGTGACATGAAGTTGTGCAACAAGATTTTAGCCAGTATTTGGTTTGCTCCTATTTCAATACCACAATAAGTCTGCAGTTGCATGAACGTCGCTGTGCGGGGCACCACTGTAAAAAGATATCTGTCCACTCGACAGTAGCCCTCAATGGCTTCTGTACGATGAAAGAGGTCTCATGGGGGCATCGGAACCTTTGAGGTGGTGGTGACATGAAGTTGTGCAACAAGATTTTAGCCAGTATTTGGTTTGCTCCTATTTCAATACCACAATAAGTCTGCAGTTGCATGTACATTCTGCTTCCTCTTTTTGCCTCATCCTGTCTTTTGCTTCGTGCCCTCCATTTGCTTTGTCCTTCTGGCCTTGAGTCCAGATACAGGCTGAAGCCTGCTTTCCTCTGCTGTGAACAACAATGTTTGCAGCTTAGACTATGTCGCTCTCTCTTGCCTGTTCTTCATGCTGCAGTTGTTGTTTTTGCTGTTATTGATGATGATGATGATGATGATTATTATTATTATTATTATTATTATTATTATGACTTATGGCAACCGTTTTTAGGGGTTTCCAGGTAGATAATTTGTTTAGAGTGAGTGTAAAATGGGCTACAGACACAGAAGACTGGATTCCATACTAGAGATTCCTCACTCCTTCATGAGAAAAAACATTTATAAATACATTCATTTATTTTATTTGTATCCCACTTTTGCACAATTAAGTGATTCAAGGCAGCTTACAATATCTTTTCAAAACAAATACAGCTAAAATACAGTTGTAGTGTCGTGACATTAAAACAACCACTCAATTAAAAACATATTAATTTTTTTCTAAAAGCATATTAAAAGAAAGTTTAAAAAACCCCAGTATCCCCTGTTCATTGGCAACCACTCATTTGCCAAAAGCCTGACTGAAGAAGGTGGTCTTTGCCTGCAAGTGGAAACACAAGTAATGCTCTCTTATTAGTGCTTTCCAAGAAGTAGATTTTAGCTGTGACAAACAGTGGTAGCATGGCACATTGTGAATAAAACTATACTCTGTTAATGGTGTCAGTAAAAAGCAGCAGCATACTACTAATGCAGGATTAATTACTCTGTTTTAAAGAAGAAGAAACCATGGTTTTCTTTTTTTAAAAAAATAATTGACCAGGTAGCTTCATTGAAGTGGATGCTGAACCAAGTCAAGATGAACTATTTGAGTTGCCAGTTGCCTCAGCTGATCAGGAGGACGGAAGAGTGTCTGAAGCAACAGTCGACAAAACAGAGGAGAGTGAGGATGCCGTGGAGAGCTGGCCACCGGAAAATGCTGCCAAAGATATAGTGCCAGTTGTACAAGAGGACAGTGAAATCAAAGACAAGGAGGAAGATGCTGTTAATGCATGGCAGGATATTAGCATGGTAATTGTTTTATTGGCAAATGTGTGAGATAAATAACAAGGGAAGGGCTGTGTTCTGTGAATTGGATGCTGAAAACATTCTGTTCATGTTTAGCGTTTTGATTACAAAATGTTTTGCTTGGAACAAATGGACAGAAAATTTGAAGACTGAATGGATAGAGACTGTAATACCCAACAGCTAGAGATGCGGTACAGGTGTTATCTTCTGAAGCATTTTTTTTTACTGCCTGCATGCTTTCATATTCTATCTGTGCTCATGAAAACTAGGGGGTTGTTCTGTTCTTTTAAACTGGAGTTCCAGATTCTGTTGATGCATATACAGTGGTGCCCCGCATAGCGACGATAATCCGTTCTGGAAAAATCGTTGCTATACGGATTCGTTGCTATGTGGAACAAAAAAGCCCATAGGAATGCATTAAAACTCGTTTAATGCATTCCTATGGGCAAAAAACTCACCGTTATGCGAAAATCCTCTATACGGCTGCCATTTTCGCTGCCCGGTAAGCGAGGAAAGGGTGTGAAAACACAGTGGGCGGCCATTTTTTTCTGGTGGCCATTATGGAACCGCCGATCAGTTGTTAGAAAAAACATCGCTATGCGAAAATCGCTTACCGATCATCACAAAGCAATTTTTTGCCATTAAAAAGATCGCAATGCAATCACTTTTGTGATCACAAAAAACAAATCGCTATGCGGATTCTTAGTTAAACAGGGCGCCCGTTATGCAGGGCACCACTGTACGCATAAATGTTCCACTAAATTTTGCCACTAATGTTTACAATAGAGTTATTCTACTTCATGTTACTGAATACAAAATTTAGATTTGCTGGGTGCAGAATTCTGTTTTCTGTTATATATTTTAGGTTTAACAGATCCTTGATTTTAATGTTTACAGGAAGAACTGGAAGTCTTAGAAACAAACCTTTCTGTTGAACAAAACACACTTCAGGCTCAGAAACAACAGCAGGAACGCGTTGCTGCCACTGTGACAGGACAGATGTTTTTAGAATGCCAGGTATATATTTATCTGTCGAGATTTCTGTAGTTTGTTTGCAGAGATTTCTGTTTTGCAGAAAAAGAAACTTAAATATAGACTTGGGCAAGAATATCCAGTCCAGTCCATGTGCATGTAAGATTTCAGTCCTAAATACAGATCATTTTATGCTGTACTATACTGTTTTTTTTAATTGTGATTGAGAAAGATGGGGGTGGGGCACAGTATTTTTTATCTAAATATGAATTCTGTTATTACAATTCTGCTTTACTTATCTTTTTTGATAGTGGCTTCCTTTAATAGCCATAGCTTCTATTATTAAGTTAATCCATCTCATGTTCAGTCTTCTTCTTTTCCCATTGTCTTCAGTATTCCTTTGTTGTCTTCTCCAGGGAGTCATGTCCAAAGTATGATAGTCTCAGTTTACTCATTTTAGTTATTTTAGTTTCAGACGTGATTTGATTTATAACTCATTTATTTATCTGGCTGGCAGTTAATGGTATCTGTAAATATCTCTTCCAACACTACATTTCTAATGAGTCAGTCTTTTTCCTGTCAGCTTTCTTCATTTTCCAGCTTTCACATCTGTATGCAGTAATCAGGAATGCCATAGTATGGATGAGCTTGACCTTCGTCTCCAGTAACACATCCATAGTACAGAAGATATTTTCTAGTTCCTTCATAGTTGCCTTTCCAATCAGTTTTCTGATTATTTCTTGGCTACAGTATCTAATTATATTGATGATTCAATTGAGAAACAGAAAATATTTAACAGTTTCAATTTCTTTATTGTCAAGTCATGTAATTTTTGTGTAGTCATATTTTTTAAATGTTCAACTGTAATTTCAGACTTTCACCTTCATCAGTGGTCAATTAAAGTTGTTGCTATTTTCTGCCAGTAACATTGTATCATTTGCATATCTTAAATTATTAATGTTTCTTCCACCATTTTTTATTCCTCCTGTGTCTGAATCTAATGTCCTCATATAAATTGAACAGATAGGGAGATAAAATGCACCCTTGTCTGACAATTTTGCTTATTGGAAATCATTCTGCTTCTCCATGTTCTATTCTATAGTAGCCTCTTGTCTTCTGGATTATAAATTACCCATCAGGGCTATCAAATGTTGTGGCACACCCATTTCTTTTAGAACAATCCTTAACTTTTCTTTATCCACATAGTCAAAAATGTCACTGTACTCTATAAAGCATATGTTTCATTTTTTCTTCAACTGGAATTCTTTGGTATGTTCCCGTAGTCAGTATATGTTTGCAGTATGATCTCTGGTGCCTCTGCTGTTTATGAATCCAGCTTGAACATCTGGCCTTTCTCACTCCATATTTAGTAAAAGTCTTTTTTTGCTACTTTATATAGACAGAGAAATGTGAAATTGTAATGTTGGTTCTCCATAGGAACTTCTGCGTCTCTTTGGCATTCCATACATTCAAGCCCCCATGGAAGCAGAGGCTCAGTGCGCTGTGTTGGACCTCACTGATCAAACGTCTGGGACAATCACAGATGACAGTGATATCTGGTTGTTTGGAGCACGGCATGTATATAAAAACTTCTTCAGTCAAAACCAGTTTGTGGAATATTACCAGTATGTGGATTTTCAAAATCAGTTAGGTAAGGCAAAAAATCTTTTTATGCGAAATTTTTGTTTCATAGGTCCTTTATATTTTTTTCCAGATATATAATGCCATTTATACAATAAGATTTGATCACTGCAGCCATTGAATTGATTACTTATGCTGCGACTCTGTGCACCTCATCCTGGAAATCTGAGTGCCACTTAATTCAGCAGACTAATTGGCTATGCCTGGCCTTGCTGCCTAGGGATTGTGAGAGTTGTGGTCCACATCTAGAGTTTTCAGACACATCTAGAAAGAACTTAGTTGAAGAAGATTGCTCTGGGGCTTTCTGAAATCATGTTCAAGGGCTAATGTTATACATTTAAGTTTGGTTATCATTTCTTTTTACAACTGCAGTTCTAGAAATAATGAGATGACAGCATTTTTGTCAGAGCACCTTGAATACAGGCTCCTGGGAATAGCAGCTACTTCATCTCTCAGTTTGCATTCTGTGTTTTGGTTGAACAGTTTTGCTCTTTGTAAATTGTTGTTATATGTCATTGGATTATGCTGAACTTAGAGCAACCTTTAAGGAGTGTTTTTCACCTCCCAGTAGGTTTCCATAGAAGTGGGGATTTGAACCCAGATCCTCTGCCTCCTTGTTCAGCACTCCCCACTATATATTGGGTGTCCTGATAGCTAAATGAATTGTTAGCAGTGGGCCATGGAGTGCAGGTAGCTTTCATATGTACTTTTTAGTGAATATGTGTGAATACATGAAATTTCTGCATAGTAATTCTATCTAAAGGCTCTTCAGACTTGCCCCTTATAGGTAGCAAATGTTCCTTGTCCAAGATCTTTCCATCACTTAACGTGTTGAACTGTGAATAGTGCTAACTTTGTATGTCAGATAATCAAAGCATGCATTATACTTCAGTTGTAGTTGTAACCTCTTTTAATTGACAAAATGGATGTCTCTTATTGCAAACTTAATAGATTCTATGGTTTACTTATGTTTTCCCCTCTTCAGGCTTGGATCGAAGTAAACTGATTAATTTGGCCTATCTACTTGGAAGTGATTACACAGAAGGCATTCCTAGTGTTGGCTGCATAACAGCGATGGAAATTTTGAATGAATTCCCTGGACGAGGAATGGAGCCTTTGTTAAAACTGATGTAGGCCATTGTCTTTTTTTCTAATTGTGAAGTATGCCTTTTAGTTTTGGTCTTTCAGTCTGAAGCATTATCAGCTAAATATCTGGCCTTTAGAAAAACAAAAATATTACTGTAACTCTAAAGAAATCACAGAGTTGGGTGTTTTTCTGGTAATTAATGTAGATTCTTGACATTAGCTACAGAATTATAATCAGAAAGATCTGTTTTCTTCCCTTCCTGCAAGTAGCCTTTATGAATGCCGCTATTGCTAATGTCAAAATAGTACAATGATGTGTAGTTAGAAGCTTAGTCCATTTCTGTTGCTGCCATTCCCATGCACAGTAGTTTCATGCTGAACTGTGTTGTGTCTCTTTGGCAGGAAACGGTTAAACAAAACATATTTAATAATACTTTAGTTGTATATATCACTTTTTATGTTGTCTGAAAGTTTCCTGTTTGGATTATGGCCCAGTATGTTAGTCGTTGCAAACAAATAAAGAGCTCCATAGCAAGGTATGGCTTTTTATAGCAGCAGAAACAATACAGATTGATTGCAGTGGTTTGTAGCCTGCAAAATGTATCTTGGTGTTCAAATATGGTTTTCTTTGCTGCAGAATTGAAAATATTTTTTGACCTTGAGAGTCTAAAACTAATCCTCTAATGGAAGGCTCAGACAGATTTCCATTTGCTGGTCCATTCAGTTATTGCAGTAAATTTAGTAATGACTTATTGGCAATTTGTGCCTGCCAGAATGTATACTGTAGATAGGGAGGAAGATGAATGAAAATACATCTGCTTTGTTTTGGTTCTCTTTGTGTGTGTCAGTGGAAGAGAAAACAAGACAGGAGGGTTTTTTAATCTATGGATTACTCTTTTCAGGGAGTGGTGGACTGAGGCTCAGAAGTGTAAGAAGACACAGCCCAATCCATATGATACAAAGGTGAAGAAGAAACTGCGGCAGCTGGAGTTTGTCCCTGGCTTCCCAAATCCTGCCGTGGCAGAAGCTTATTTGCATCCTGTGGTGGATGAGTCAAAGGGGTCGTTCATTTGGGGAAGACCTGACTTGGAACAGATCAGAGAATATCTTTTTTGGGGTTTTGCCCCGTTTGTCTTTTGTTTTGACAAGATGTAATTATAAAATGAAAGCTGCTTCATTAGAAATGTTTGTATAGATCAAGGGTTAGCATTGTTGGCTCCAGGAGCCAGTTTCGTTGTCACCTCTTCCATCACGGTGGCTGGGGCAATGCATGACATTTTTTAAATGTAAAAACAGCACATATGAGATCACTGTCAATAACAGTCTCAAACAGTCTCTGGTGTGCTGGGCCAGTGCTTTTGAGGGACAGGGAACTACAGCCGTTCTCCCCGGTAAGTTGGTAGTGGACTGTAGCCAACCAGGGAAATGTATTTCATTGCAGAGGTATCAAGAGGGCCCTAGCCACTGAATAGGGAAGGTTACATGTCCCTTCCCCCAGTAAGGGTTTCAGTGTCTGTTTCATGTGCAGAATTCCTGCACTTTTGTGGTTACAACTGTGTCTTAAAAGATTTGTAGAAGGGAATACATAGATCTTGTGTTTTTGTGTATGTATTATATTTTGAAGATTTTTGTCTCCTTCTCTCCCCCCCCATCCCCCCTACTTTTCGCTCCATTGATAAGCCTTAACTGCATAACACATTTTGCCAGAGTCATTTCGGCTGGACTAAGTTAAAAACCGATGAAGTCCTGTTGCCTGTTCTCAAACAGCTGAATGCTCAGCAGGTAATACTAAAATGAGTGAACGAATTCAATGTATTGCTTTAGTGCACAGGCATTTGCAGATTATATAATAAAAAACACAACATTGTGCAAAACAATGTAAGAGAATTTAAATTTCTCTTCAGGTTTAAAAATTCTAAGATCTGAAATATATCATACATAGGATCATGTATCTTTCTGGGACAAAGCCAAACCAAATTCCTAGTATGGCTCTTTTATTGAGGCTACTTTTTTCTTTTTGAGAAAATTATAATTATTCTGAATTTTTTTTAAAAAAAGAGCTCTTGGTAGGCTTTTAGATTGATTTTGCTTATGCATCTTAAGAACTTCTTTTAGCTGATGTTTCATTATGTCATATTCTTTATTAATTCAGTTATTAGTTTGTCTTCTGGGTGCTGATCTTACATTCTTAACCAAGAAGAGTCTTAGAGTTTGTCAAGTCAGTGCTAATGTGTTGGGCTGCCAATTTACCCCCTTCAATTCGAGCATTCAGAATTTGTTGTATTTCAACCTAAGGTTTAGAAAACCATTTCAGTCTAATTTCCCCTGTGTATTCCAACTGTTGGAAGGGAACTACATGCCACATTATTTAATGAAACTTTGGGAATGTGGACATAAAATATAAGGGGTTGATGGTAGCTTTCTACTTGTAACCCCACTGTAAAATTTAAAACATTGAGTAATAAAGTAGAAGTAATTGGTACAATATCAATTGAAATAGCTCTCTTTTGGATGAAATGTGCAAATGTCCTGTGTTTATTGCCTTTAGAATTGCCATTTACTAATATTAGGTTAAACTTCTCAATCAGCTACCAAACAAAACAAACCACAAAACAAAACCAAAACCAAAACAAACAAACAAACCCAGATCTTAAAAAACCCAGATCTTTTCATAATGGGATCCTTCATGTTTTGTCAACTGATTCTAGAAATCACTACTGTGTTCAGTATAAAGGGATCTAAAGTGGCCATTGCCTATACATGCATTGATGTCTCCTAGCGCTATTGTTAGTGCCCCAGGCAATTTTTCTCAACATCATAAACATTTCTAAATTAACACTAGCAGTGCTCATAAGAAAAAGGACAAGTGGAGTGAAGTATAAACATTCAATGCCAATAATGCTGATGGATGTTGGGTACAGGCAGATGAATCTAAGCAGCTGGACAGGTTGGCACAAAAGCGGGTGGATTTGTTAGAAATTCACCATCTAAAATTTATGTCCAAAATGAAAGACATTGTTTTTAAAAGACTGTATCACGAGACACAAAGGAGGGAAAAACCATAGGTGAGTCCTACAAATGAAACAAAGGGCTAAAAACTTGGAGACACAATACATAGGGATGGAGTTGTTTGGGGAGTTCCAGCACACAGTATCTTTGACTGTTGGTGGACACAGCCCCGTGCATGTCAGTTGAGAAGGCTTAAGGGGCCAGCGGGTATTGGCCTGCTTGAATTCCCTTATAATTTACAGTACAGTGGTGCCTCGCACAGCGAGGTTAATCCGTTCCGGATTAACCCTCGCTGTGTGAAACATCGCTGTACGGAAAGAAAAAAGCCATTGTTATGCATTAAACTTAGTTTAATGCGTTCCAGTCGGCTGATTTACTCACCGTACAGCGATGTTCCTCTATGGCCGGCAGCCATTTTCGTGCCCTCCCCTCACTTAACGAGGAAGCGAAAACGCTGCGCACGGCAATTTTGGGGCTTCCGGCAGCCATTTTGAAGTTGCGGAACAGCTGATCGGCGGGGCGCAAAGCGCAGGTCGGTAAGCGAACCACTTACCGACCTTCGCTCTGCGATTTTCGCCCATTGGGGCCGTCGCTCTGCGATCGCATTAGCGATCGAAAAAACGTCCCCGTAGAGCGAATTCATTGTTCTACGGGGCGCTCGTTGTGCGAGGCACCACTGTACATCGGAGGCGGGTCTGGCTGATAGCAGCCCAGGGAACAAGTCTGCTTTGCCATATTTTGTTTTGCATTTTCCTCTTCCAGTTTGCATACTCTGTAATTCTTCTAACATCACTTGCGGGCTGCTGTTGTTTCTTGTAGACTCAGCTCCGTATCGACTCGTTCTTCAGGCTCGCACAGCAAGATAGGCAAGCTATCAAGAGTCAAAGGCTTCGCAGGGCTGTGACTTGTATGAGAAGGAAAGAGAAAGAAGAAGAGGAAAGAGAAGTTCTGGAGGCTGCAGTGGCCATAGAAGAAGAATTTAAGAGGAAGAGAGAGAAGGAGCCTGAGCAAGAGGCCAAGCAAGGCGTTCCTGGAACAGAGAAGCACCAGAGGAAGAGGAGGAAGCGCCAGCCACCCAAAGAGCAGAGTTTTGGCGGGGGAGGCTTTGTTGGAGAGATTCAGCTCTCAGAGGCATCCAGCGGGTCATCGGCTGAGGATAAATCCAGTTGCAAAAGAGGAAAAACTGGAACAGTGATTAAAATTGACTCAGCAAGTCCCAAAACCAACCTGGACCTTGAACCAACTCAGGATGGGGCAGGAAACAGTAGCTCTAGTGCAGAGGAGGAAATGCCTATGGTGACAGCCAGACCTGTCTTTGAAGGCAAAAAAGCAAGGAACAAATCGTCAAGGAGAACGAGGAAAAGGCACTAGCTAAATGGGATTTTAAATTTTTTAAAATAAAAGAACAGTGATCACTTCACAAGGAAAGGATCCCCATTCCTATTACCTTGCTTTTATATATACTGGCAGCACTTACTGACACTGGGGAAACATTAGCAAGCGTGTACTAAATTTTTTAAAAAAATTATTTAAGAGTAAGATACTGTTTTTCCCCTTCTTAAGAAGACTTCTAAAATAATTATGCATTTGTCTCCTCTGAGAAGCTTTTGAAGGTGATTTGTAATGTATATGCTTTTCATAAGGGAAAATGAAATGATTGTGTAATGTTGCCAGTTTGTCACTCAGCTTCACACTTCATGAAATGTGATAAGCAGCACACCATCCAGGGTTCCTGCATTCTGCTGGAAGTAAATACTTGGCTGGCTTCGGCTCTCTCAAGCCTTGCTTGAGTCAATTTGAGTCCAGTATAGCATTCCGTCTCAAATTTTATGGGATGGAATGGGTGTATGTGTGGCTGCTGATCATTCTTCAACACAAACTACCGAACAAAAAACAAGAGTAAGTAGAGCTGAAACGATATCATGAAAACAAACAGAAATTACGCTAAACATAACAAAGAGCAGATATAGCCAAAGTTTCTGAGTTCACAGATGGCATGTTATTGCCCCTCTGATTGCTTTACAAAGTGTGCTGTGTCAGACTGGTGTGTTTTCCACTATTTTTGTCAAAAATAACATTTAGAAAAATGCAAAATATGCAATTTTTGTCTTCCTTGCTGCGGGCATTGCAATGTTTTTAATTGTTTTTAATTGTTCAGCCATCAATTCAAAGTAATGTATGGGTGAAGGGTGACATTTGAATTGCTTGCAGTGCCATGGAGAGGAGGCACAGCAAGTGATTGTAGAGCTTTCCAAAGAAAACAGCAATAGTATCTTGTAAAGAAGGGTAAGCAACTCTACCAAGAAGCCAGGGCGGCTCCCTAAAATATTCAGGGATTTCTAGCTTGAGAAAAGGTCAGGTCATAGAGAATGTGATAGAGGAGTATAAAGTGAGCATGGCATGGATCCGTGAATGAAGATGAAGGATGCGAGGTTTCAGACAGACTGAAGGAGATCACTTCTTCACAATACACATAGGGAAAACGGTGGAAATCCGTACCTCAGGATATGCTGATGTCTACTAATGCAGGTGGTGTTAGAAAAGGATTTGATAGATTCACAGAAAATTCAGCTACTAGTTAGTATTTATTCCATTATCAGAAGTGGGATGTCCTGCTTTCTATAGGCAGCTGGGTGGCTACTGTGTGAATGGAGTGCAGAACTAGATAACCTTTGGCCTGATCCACAACTTAAATATTTCCAGTTAAAATTTGTTGAATGATTGATCCCAGTGTTCCTCTCTGATAGAAGCAGCCAATGTGGCTAAGTTTCACTTTTTTCCAGTCTGAACCTGCGGTTTATCATTTAGCGCAATCAAAGTGTTTGTATTTTTAGTGATACACATTCTATTAAATCAAAATAGGTGTTTATATAAACACTTCAATCTTTATGTATTGATGGGGTGTTGTATCTGTGCTTCTGAGTGACAACACAGATGCTAGCCAATTGATGCTTGCACAGTTGGCCTTTTTCTCAGTTTAAACCAAATCCATGTTGCAGACTTTCAAGACTGTTTTCTTCACTCTCCTGAAGAAGCATTTCTGCCAAATGCAGGTGAGATGTTTCCAGTTCCTGCCTCATTCTCTATCAGTCTTCACATTTATATATACAATTGTATTGAGATCTGAAACACATCACTGTGCACTATAACAGTCAAGCAATAGGCTTTGGGCAGTATTTATTATTTATTTTATTTTAGGCTTTGGGCAGTAGTGTGTGTAACCACTTTAAATTCATTTGTATACACGTATACTCTGAATGTAAGATCTATGAACTTTGGAAAACTGGATGTGGTCAAACAGGAGATGGCAAGAATAAACGTTGACATCTTGGCCATCAGTGAACTAAAATGGACGGGAATGGGCAAATTAAATTCAGACAATTATCATATCTACTACTGTGGGCAAGAATCCCATAGAAGAAATGGAGTAGCCCTCATAGTCAACAAAAGAGTGGGAAAAGCTGTACTGGGATACAATCTCAAAAACTACAGAATGATTTCACTGCAAATCCAAGGCAGACCTTTCAGCATCATAGTAATCCAAGTTTATGCACCAACCACCAATGATGAAGAAGCTGAAATTGACGAATTCTATGAAGACTTAGCAACACCTTCTACCACTGAAACCAAAGAAAGATGTTCTTCTCATTATAGGGAACTGGAATGCTAAAGTAGGGAGTTGAGATAAAAGGAACAAAAGGCAAGTTTGGCCTTGGAGTTCAAAACGAAGCAGGGCAAAGACTAATAGAGTTTTGTCAACAAAACAAGCTGGTCATCACAAACACTCTTTTCCAACAACACAAGAGGCAACTCTACACATAAACATCACCAGACGAGCAACATCAAAATCAGATTGATTCTGTTCTCTGCAGCCAAAGATGGAGAAGCTCTATACAGTCAGCAAAAACAAGACCTGGGGCTGATTGTGGCTCTGATCATCAGCTTCTTATAGCAAAATTCAAGCTTAAACTGAAGAAAGGAAAAACCACTGGGCTAGTCAAGTATAATCTAAACCAAATCCCTTATGAATACACAGTGGAAGTGAAGAACAGACTTAAGCAACTCGATTTTGTGGACAGAGTGCCTGAAGAACTATGGATGGAGGCTGGTAACATTGTATAGGACAGGGGTTCTTAACCTTGGGTCTCCCAGGTGTTTTTGGACTGCAACTCCCAGAAGCTTTCACCACCAGCTGTGCTGGCTGGGGTTTCTGGGAATTGCAGTCCAAAAACACCTGGGAGACCCAAGGTTAAGAACCACTGGTATAGGAGGTAGCAATAAAAACCATCCTAAAGAAAAGGAAATGCAAGAAGGCAAAGTGGCTATCTAATGAGGCCTTACAAATAGCAGAGAAGAAAAGGGAAACAAAATGCAGGGGAGATGGGAAAAGTTACAGAAAACTGAACACAGACTTCCAAAGAATAGCAAGGAGAGACAAGAGGGCCGCCTTAAATGAACACTGCAAAGAAATAGAGGAAAATAATAGAAAAGGAAAAACCAGACAACTGTCCAGGAAAATTGGAGATATTTTGTGCAAAGATGGATATGATAAAGGATAAAAATGGGAGGGACCCAACAGAAGCAGAAGATATCAAGAAGAGGTGGCAAGAATACACAGAGGAATTATACCAGAAAGATCTGGAGAGCAAATTCAAGTGGGGCTTAGAAAGCACGGCTAACAATAAGGCCAGTGGAGGTGACGGCACTGCTGAAGTTGAACTCTGAGGCAAAACAGGAAGTCAATATTGTACCCAACTATTTCACAAGAATAATAAATCATAATAATAAATCATTTAATTAATTAATTGTTATAAATTTTTCTTGAACTTGTTATCCTTTATGTTGTAAGCCGCCTAGAGTTGTTGAAATGACTAGATAGGCGGGGTATAAATACAATAAATAAATAAATAAAAATAAAAAATGAGCCTGCTTCTGCTTTGTGGTGTGTTTAGCCAATGGGTAAAACCACAGCAATGACTGACATTCTCAAAGCCTTATGTATTTAAAAGTACTGATCTGCATACTGCACGTGCAAACTGCATGAAGACACATTAAGCAGCTGTTACAATTCAAGGGTTCTGGGTAACAGTTCTTGGTAGCCTGATCATGTTAAGGGTGTCTGGTAAAGCCTGCTTCCTGTCATATTTTCCTTAGATAGGGAACAGCACTCTGTGTTTTGTAACTGCATTTTGCCTGCACTGGCTGCAGAGATGAGTTGTTAAACTAAGAATTTTTTTTAAAAAAGAGTCCTTGGGAGAGATGAGAAATAAACTTCCTCTTTAAGAAACATTTTTGCAGTCTTTCCTATATCTATTTACTAAGGAGTAGGCCCTTTCAACATCACATAAAAAAAAAAATAAGACCATGGCCACTGGTCCCATCACCTCCTGGCAAACAGAAGGGGAAGATATGGAGGCAGTGACAGATTTCACTTTCTTGGGCTCCATGATCACTGCAGATGGAGACAGCAGCCACAAAATTAAAAGACACCTACTTCTTGGGAGGAAAGTGATGACAAACCTAGACAGCATCTTAAAAAGAAGAGACATCACCTTGCCGACAAAGGTCCGCATAGTCAAAGCTATGGTTTTTCCAGTAGCAATGTATGGAAGTGAGAGCTGGCCCATAAAGAAGGCTGACTGCCAAAGAATTGATGCTTTTGAATTGTGGTGCTGGAGGAGAATCTTGAGAATCCCCTGGACTGCAAAGAGATCAAACCTATCCATTCTGAAGGAAATCAATCTCAGTGCTCACTGGAAGGACAGATCCTGAAACTGAGGCTTCAATACTTTGGCCATCTAATGAGATGAGAAATCTCCCTGGAAAAGATGTTGGGAAAGTGTGAAGGCAAGAGGAGAAGGGGGCAACAAAGGACGAGATGACTGGACAGTGTCATGGAAGCGACCAACATGAACTTGACCCAGCTCTGGGAGGCAGTGGAAGACAGGAGGGTCTGGTGTACTCTAGTCCATGGGTTCACAACGTGTTGGACACAACAACTAAACAACAACAATACCCTGAAGTGTTTCAGTTGCATCTGCCAGTGCTTATTCTGAGGTGCAGAGGCAAGGGATTGCAGCCCCAATTTTCTGAATTGGAGCTGGGCAGAGAAAGATGCAACTTGTATAATGCCAGATCTGTCTCTCTTCTAGAACATCTTTCTCTTATATAAGCATGCTTAGGTTTTCGTTTCCCAATGAAATTCAGGGGGCGTGCTCACTTTTTTCACACTGCAGCTGTCAAGGTTTATTAATTCATAACTTGGGTCTGTGTGCTGGTGAGAGGTTGAATTTCAAACTTTATAGCTTTTCCTCTGGAGCTTATCACAAGCTGGGCAGAGTGGGGAAGAAAATCAACAAGAGGTAGTTTCTCACCTTCAACTTTTGTGGAGACTTGGGACAAAATAAAATTAGGTATGTTCCTGAATGTACTTCACTGATTTGTTTCTTTTTCTGGACCTTCTTGAAAAAAAGGTGCACAATTGGGATTACTCTTAATGCCTTTCAGCTTTTCTTAGGATGGAGTTTATGTTTAGATATGAACGGTTTGTTCCAAAAATACTTCAGTCACAGTTGAAGCATACAAATCTAATCAGCAGGTTAGCAAGCTAACATTTTTAGGCTCTGTAGACTGTTCAAGATAATAAGGTCCTATGGAACTGACCTTTAGAATAACTTGTTAAAAATATCAGGGAGAGGAATAGCTTTCCAGTTGGTGAGTAAGTAATGTTAAACAATGATGCCACTCAGGGTGCAGCAAGAGCCTCTTGTTCTGCCTGTCTACAAAACTAAAGTTGCACGATCCTTCGTAAACTGATGTTGGACTAGGAGTAAGCTGTACTGAGCACAATGAGCTATTCTGAGTAAGCTTGCATAAACTGGTGCTGGCCTTAGCACAAAGTCTGCATGTTTATACTCTATACAGTATATACAGACAATTTCTTTTGCTTTTTTTAAATGATTCTGTGAGCACCCTCAATACCATGGTGTCCTATTTCCATTGGAATGGCAGGCAACATTTCAAGCATGTGGAAAAGCTGGGGCACTGTTCTCGGAGTGTTTGCTACTATTGCTGCTTCATGACAACTGTTGGCATGCAATTATTCATGTGCAGTTGTTTGTGTGACGATGGAAAACACCCACTTATGTTCTGCAATATACATTGTATCTGTCACTAAGCCCTCTGTTGTCTGGTTGTGAAAGGGGGTGTCACCAAGGTTAATAACTTTGGGTTTATAGTACACTTTCTGTAAATTTTGTGAAACTACTAGATGTTTATTTATTTATTTTATTTATTCATTCATTGAATTTATATGCCGCCCACTCTACCCAGAGGTCTGGGTAGTGTGAATGTCTAAAAATGCGGTGTATTTTGACATTTTTGTGCTGTTACTGGTAATCCCACACAGGAGTGTGATATTCACTAAACATGCATGTTAGCATTCATATTATTAGAAAATAGGGAATACACATTTCTTTTGAAATGAAATAATTCAGTTTATTTGGGAATATCAGTATTCAAGTGTATAATGTACATTTCTCTTAAGCAGCGGCAGCATTCTTTTGTGAAGACAGATGTTTGTATAGTACTTTTTCCTGACTTCACTGGGAAAAGTCACATCATATTCTGTCGTAAGCCATCCAGAGATCTTTGGGTAGTATAAATGTAAAAGGTAAAGGTTCCCCTTGACAATTTTTGTCCAGTCGTGTTCGACTCTAGGGGGCGGTGGTCATCCCCGTTTCCAAGCCATAGAGCCAGCATTTTGTCCGAAGACAATCTTCCGTGCTCACGTGGCCAGTGCGACTTAGACACGGAACGCTGTTCCCTTCCCGCCAACGTGGTCCCTATTTATCTATTTGCATTTTGCATGCTTTCGAACTGCTAGGTTGGCGGGAGCTGGGACAAGCGAAGGGCGCTCACTCCGTCGCATGGATTCAATCTTATGACTGCTGGTCTTCTGACCTACAGCACACAAAGGCTTCTGCGGTTTAGCCCTCAGCACCACCACGTCCCCCGCAGCGCCACCATGTCCCGTTGGGTAGTGTAGGCAGCATATAAAGTAAATAAATATTCTCAGTGTTTGTGGAGGCATTTCATTCATTCTGCATAAGCACCAAATATCTTTGCTTTTGACTCTGACATGCTTTAGCCTGGTATTCCTAGTATTTTAGACTTGATGTTGCTTCTGTAGTTTACCAATAGTGCATGAAAGCAAATTGAGAACTGATGGGAAAAAATATGAATTCTAATGCCTAAATATATTTGCATTTGGTTGTACTTATAATCCCTCTTTGACTTCCTATCTGGACACTTTCTTTTTCTTTTTTCTTTTCCTCATTCTCATTTTTAGTACCTAATACCCTTATTTCCCAGTACATTTTATGACATGGATTCAAAATCATTGCAGCACAAACATCTTGTATCAAATAAGTTCTCCAGCAACCCAGATCACAAAGAAGGTAAATATTTTTCTTGCCATCAGATGTGCTTGAAAACATGTTTCATATTAGTTGAGCAAAGCTGCTAGATATGGTGGGTGGGGTTGGAAGGATAGGGAGCTGTGGTCTCACAACCTGTGGGCGGCCGTAGTTGCCCACCCTGTTTGGCTTACCTCATCATATAGATGTGTGGATCACATGTTTGAATGTTCTTCCAATTCTTCTTTTTAATTCATTGCAGGTAGAACATTACAGTATCTGGAGAAATAAGCTAGAATTTTGTCCTGTCTGTGGTTTAACTGTCCACAGACAGAGTCTTTGATGTACTAGAGCAGTGGTTCTTAACCTTTGTTACTCGGATGCTTTTGAACTGCAACTCCCAGAAACCCCAGTCAGGACAGCTGGTGGTGAAGGCTTCTGGGAGTTGCAGTCCAAAACTCCTGAGTAACCCAAGGTTAAGAACCAGTGTGCTAGAGCACTGGTTCTTAACCTTTGTTACTCAGATGTTTTTGGACTGCAGTTCCCAGAAACCTTCACCATCAGCTCTGCTGGCTGGGGTTTCTGGGAGTTGCAGTTCAAAAACATCCGAGTAACAAAGGTTAAGAACCACTGTGCTAGAGTATTCCAATATGTGACTGTAATGGCTGGTTCTAACATTATGACATAGTTGTGACAATGCTTAGTGTGATAACTTTATGTCTGAGAGAAGCCTAGTTCAAGCCATTTGCCTGAGGCAAAGCAGCAAATTGTGCTCTATGCTCTCTTATGGAACCAGATTAAAGCCAGGCATGCTGTTTTGGCACATGAGGCAGAAAATTCCAAAAACATCATTTGCCTATCAGGCATAAATCTACAATAACTCTGAATTAAATGACTCCCCCCCCCTTCATTGCATTCAAAGTCTGCAGCTTGAGACATCTGCTTCGTTATGTTTATTGTAGCATTGGCCCTGACTTGAGAACTTACTGGAACATATAAAGCAATCACACTCTTTAAGAGGAATAGCAATTTGTATAAGACGCAAACTGAATCTTTGCATTGTGTTACTGTTTTTTATAGGCCATATTATTTATTTTTATTAAAGCATTATATTTATTTTGAATTGATTTCCTACCTTGTTCTGAGGGCACAGATTAATAATCTATCTTATTTTTGTCCTTATACAGGACCATATTTATCAGCAGAGTAAAGATTAGTCAGTACAAGACTAATCTGAAAAGAATGCCAGTGTTTCCACAAGCTTACTTCCAAACTTTATGCCTGATCAATCAGACTTTCAAATGAAGCCCATGTTTACCTTCTGATGTCCAATCATAAAACAAAGTTAGCTGATATGCAAGTTGTGGGAGATGAGAATAACTCCTGCAGTGATAACCAGGTACCTTTCAGCACTTAAAGGATTTCTATTTCTGAGAAGCACTGATAAAGCCCTTCTGATACACGCATACCTAGAGAAGCCTGCCAAGGGTCATCATAATTCTCAGTTGACTTGATGGCACATAACTTAGTGAGACTTCATTGACACAGGCTTATGTTCACCCACTAACAGCTTATTATTCACAGTGACCTACTATTTATGTCATCTCAGCTTTCTCAGAATATATAGATTGCATGTCTCCAAGATGGCTCCCTCCCTTGAGTAGCAGATGTTGTGGGGCAAGAAGCAGTGGCAGGTAACGAGGACAAACCTTGTCCAGGATAATTTCCAGGCCTGAACAGAACAAGGTGTGTGTTAATAAGCAGCCATATTGTACAGGTGTGTAAGAATGCTGAGTCATGCTGACTCATGGATGCTGACTCATGAATGATGTAACATCTAATGTAATTGGTCATCTGCAGATGTGTATATGTATATACTGTATATGTGAAACTGTACAGAAGATGTATTCCTGATTTGTGATGAACACTATCCTGTTATGCTGCCAGACTGAACTGTTGTATATATCCTATAAATACACGTTGGTGTTGGGAGAAGCTGCCTGTGTATGTGTGAATTATTTGGACTACCTGGACTGATCAATACTCTGCTGATTCTGCTGAATTTCCACTATTTTTTGCGCTAACAAAAATGTCTTGGGACCACCTTCTGTTCATGACAACTCTTTGAGTTAGGCAAGTCTGAAGGAGTAGTGCTTGTCCTTGGTTGCATAAGAACTGACGTATTAAGAGACGAGTTATACAACAGATTCAAAGAGAAGCAGTGAAAAGTCTTTTTATGTGATGGTGAAAGGGAGTCTGAAAGTGGTGGTGGTTCACATTCCCAGCTCTTCAGGAACTTGGCAGGATATCATGTCCTTGTCCAAAGAAGTGTGAACTACTAATCTGTCATCCTTTTTTCAGTATTTTAAGAAGGACCGCTTGCCCATTTTTAAAAATAGACATTCTCATATATTGAAATACCCAACATTTCTCATCTTTAATACAAACACGTGCAAGAAGCAGCCTCCCAGTTAAATTTTCAACAGAGATATATTTTTATTCAAAAGAATCTTACCTAAGAAAGGAGAAAGCAACACATTAAAATGATGGAGCAAATGTGAACTCAGCATTTTAAAGACTTAAGTTTTCTTAAAATAGAAACAGGAAAGAGTAGAAGATGAACCTTCAGCAGTTTTAGAGACTATGTTTGGCAACTCAACATATGGAGCTTTAGCAAGAATCTCATAGGATGGAATATAATATGAAAAAGATATCAACACCGTATTCTCTTAAGTGGTCAATGTAAGCTCCATCTGTGTCAGTGAAGTCCTCAACTGACCTCTTCGAAGGTATTCCACTTGAACTTGCTTGACCGTAAACCAATTGAGCAGGTTTTGTTGACCTGTTTGATGGGATTACTCTCTGTGATTGGGTTCCACGAACTCCCCTGAGGTGACCCCAAGTTCCAAACTCACAGATGGAGCCATTTTCTTTTTAACATCAAAAGATTTATTAAGCCGACTTTAAAACCATCAATAACAACTTCTGAAGGGCCTAGTTCAAATTCACTGGGCACTTCTTTGTCCAGAACATCAACTGAATTCGAAGTCCAGCTTGGTTTCAATGGTGTTCGACTTTGCTAGGTTGGTCTATTATAGGGTAAAAATGTTGAGACTGGTGCAGTCCCAAGCATTGGTACTGGTAACATGGGTAGAGCCCCCAATTCTGTATCCCTTTTTTTTATCACATCCTCTCCTTAAGTGGAGTTCCCATCTTTCCTCTCCTTTTGTTGTCAGTGTTTCTCTTTGTAGGAGCTTTCTAGCCCATTCTTTCCTCTCTCCCTAATATGATGGCTTAGGGGGTGGTTGATAATTCCATTGCCTTTCCCATTTTGTTTACCAGGGATTTTGTTTACCGAGTAGACATGGTCTAGAGGGGTGGTGTATAAACAAACAAACAAACAAACAAACAAACAAACAAACAAACAAACAAACAAACAATTTCCAGCCTTCAGGTAATTCTTGACTTGTGGCCTCTCCCCTTCTCTGTGCTCCTTTTCTTTCTGATTCCCCTTCCTTTCTTTCTCTCCTTTTATCCCTTCCTTCTTTCTTGACTCCTCCTCCCCTTTTCCCCCTTTCTTCTCCTGGACTTTTCCCATCTGCTCTTTTTCATACTCCCTGGTCTTGTCATCTCCCCCTTGTTGTTCTACCACCTCAGTCAGGGCTGACAGCTCAAACAGGGCTTTCTGTACCCAAGTCCCTCAAGCCAATGTCTATCAGGGAACTACTGGCCATATTCTTCTTCCTCGGCTGGAAGAGTTTTCCTTCTCACATTCCTTTGATTGCAGTCTGAGACAGATAAATCCAGTGTTAATCCTTGCAGTGTGCAATTAGTTACCTGGATTGCAAGGTGCAATCACTTACATGGATTGATTGGGCCCTGGTGTGACAAGTGCCTGCACCAAGGTTACCAAAAATAATTCTGACGGCAGTTGAAGTGAGATGTGAAATATTTATTTCCAGGCTTCCTTGATCCCTGAACATAAAAGTGTCAGGGAGGGATGTACCATATAAAGCAAAGGGGACTTGCTTTGACAATGGTGGGTGTGGAAAATAAAGATAATGCTGCCAGAAAACAAGTGTTCCAGGGTGACAAGAAAGGAAAGATGAAGTATTTAATTACTGAAAATATTTCCCTGCCAGTGATGTCAACACTCTTCTACAAGCATAACACATGCAACAGGATTTCGACCATTAAAAGTAATTATACAAGTTATTTCCTGCACCAGTTCAGTAACATTCTGTTTGTTACATTGCTTTTTGCACAGAACTTTGTCCTACCCTCTTCCCCCCAGCTAACTTATTACAGGTAACTATGTTACTTGTAACTTGTTTCTCCAAAGCTTTGCTGATAACCTGCAGGGCACACAGATCTGGAGGTTTCAGAATGAGGAGCAAATGTAAGTCATGCAAGCAGATCCACGTAAATCCTTCACCCACCCACACCATATATCTTTAAATATCAAATAAATAAATAAATAAATAAACAAACAAACAAACAAACAAATAAACAAATAAACAAATAAACAAATAAATAAATAAATAAATATTAATTGGGAAGTTATGACATTTCCCTGTAATTGATTTTTGCTGCTAGAACAAGAGTTCTAAGCTTCCCCATTGCCTTGGGAACATGAGGATGCCACTTTGCAATCCTTCCGCAAGCAGGTGAAGACCTTCCTTTTCAGGCAAGCTTTCCAGCAGTGACTGTCTGCCTGAGTGGGGATTTTAAATGGATGGTTGTATCTTATTGTGTTTTTGGTGCTGCTTTTGTTTACTATTTTTCAGTGTGCTATTTGTTTGATCCTTTTTAGAATTTATATACTTACTCGTTTTTTAGCTTCAAATGTTGCCTTTTAATGATGGAAGCTGCCTTGGGTTGTTTTTAAGCAGAAAGGCGAGGTAAAAATATTTTTAATAAATGATAGATCAGTAAACAAAATCAACCTGGGAAGTGGCCTGATTTCAGGTCGCATGAAGAAATTCCATGATAGAAACAAAAGAAGCGAAAGTAAAATAACCACAGGGCCCGTATACAAATCTGTGGTGTGACCACACATGGAATATTGTGTACAGTTTTAAGTTGTCACTGCACCTTAAAAAGGATATAGTTAAGCTGGAAAGGGAGCAGGAAAGGGCAGCTATACAAGAAAGGGAGTAAAGAAACTCCACTATACAAGAAAAGGGGTAAAGAAACTCCACTGTGCAGAGAGTTTGCAAAGTTATGAAAGAAATACATAAAATCATGCATAGTGTGGTGAATGTGAATAAGGACCAAGATACCCCATTTCAGTTTCACTGTCTTGCTGATTTTAGGGAGGGTCTAAAGATGCCTGCTTTCAATTTGGCCTCATAAACTGTTTTATTTCTTATATTTGTAATGGTTATTCTGTTATAAATTGTTGTTAATATTTGCTAGGGAACCTGGACTCTATTTTGTGTAAAATAGAGTCCGGGTGGGGTAAAGGTGCCATGAAACTCAATGGCTGATCTTGGGCAGTCACTCTCACACAGCCCGACCTGCCTTACAGTGCTGCTTTGAGGAGGCAGGGTAGAGGGGACCCATATATACTGCCTTGAGCACATTAGGGAATGGTGAGGTATAAAAATGTAATTGATAATATAGAAAGAAACCTACTTCCTGAAATCTATGGGTCAAACTCTATTGTATATATAAACACTACTTAACGTGGTGACAGGTGTCTGTGTGTCACAGAACTGTGATTTTCCTCACCTATGTATCTTACATTTAGTTTTCTTTGTTTTGTGATTGGTCATTGGAAAGTAAACAAAGGCTTAATTTGCAGATTGTTTGTGGGAGCACTGTTTTTGAAGACATCCCAGTGTGGGATGGAAAAAGGACTAATTATAGGAAATACTAGGGAATGCCTGACATTGAGCTTGATCCTAAGGCTCTACAGATAAAACCTGCTTTATAAGCCAGTTGGGAGCCACCATCATCAGGTTAATACTATCACAAGCAGTCGATCACTGCAAGACCAGAGAGGAACAAAGAAGCCATTGCTTTTGCTAGAGGCGAATATGCAAGCTTGCGATCAGAAGATGAGTTGGAAGTAACCAAGGATAGCTCTTGACAGTTTTAAAATATACTCCACCATATATCTTCTCCTGAAATTTAAATCCATTACAAGAATATGATGACTTTTCTAATTGGTTTCTTTGATTTACTACTGCTAAAGGAAAAAGAAATGACATTCTATTATTAGAGCTCTATAAACAGTATGATGGATAACAATTCCTCTTGGTCCAAGGTATCATACTAAATGATTCACTGCTGGCAGTGTCTGTTGGCAGGGAACATAACTCAGATGACTTGGCGTAGCATGGCCATATACAGGTGATGGGCGTAGGGGTTAGGTCACTGCACTTCTCTTGAGCTGATCTTGGAGGCCTCTTGCTGTCACTGAAATGTACAATTGTTTTTTTACTAGGACAAAACGGAGATGAAGAGATGGTTGCGGAAATCATGGGACGATGTTTCTCTCCTTCGGTGATAACCATCGAAGCCTGGGAAGGATTTAATTTTGTTGGCCACAAGATAAAGATTAGAGAAGGCACTGAAAGTTATGGAGCTGTGGTCTGGTCTTCGGTAATGCAGTCAAGCAGGGCGCTTGCCTCCATTCTATGAAACCAAACAGAATGCATGGATCTATGCCAGCCTTGTTAATAACCTCGCCAAAAGGACAAGCTGATAAAAGTTACTCCCCACTTTTAAAATATGATTATTTACAGCTTCTCTCACAGAATATGCTATGGAACAGTGAAGGAAAGCTTTAGCTCTCGAGATATATCAGCCTTCGTCTCCCAGAAATTAAAGCCAGCCAGGGCCTAATCATAAAGGGTTATTTGAATTCTAGTCCAAAACATTGTGTGTGTGTGTGTGTGTGTGTGTGTGTGTATGTGTGTGTGTGTGTTCTATAAGGAACATGTGAGTTTTCCTCTAGTTTTCTGAGGACAAAATTTTTATATACCCATCCTGGAAAAAGGGTATGTTCATATAAACTGCAGTAAAACTTCCTTTTATTATGTCAGTCATGATGTTTAAAGGGTTTTTTGCTGAGTTACAGTGACTACTGTTGCTGTTGCTGTATAAAAAGAAGGCATTTATTTTCATTTTTCTGTTGCTACGGCAACCCTGTCAATCTGTATTTTCCCCCCCACCTACAGGCTCTTGTTCTGTGCCACTTTTTGGAAACAAATGTGAAATCATATAACATGGTTGACAAAAATGTTATTGAAATTGGAGCGGGAACAGGTTTGGTCTCCATAGTAGCCAGCATCCTTGGTGAGTACTGCTAGTATAGCTACAGGATAGTCTTACATTTTTTTTAAAAAAATTCAAACCATTAATTAGGGATTGCATGGTTGGCTTTATAAAAAAGGAAATTGCTTTTGTGCATGTATCTGTGGTTGGCTGGTATGGATCAGTTGCCTCTGTGCATGAGAGGTCCTTAAGTTGGATCAAATGCCTCTGGATCTACAATTTGCATGGAAGTTGGGAACTCTCCTTAGAGCAAATGGGAGTTATGCAATCCAAACTGCAGTCATGGCAGACCTGGTCTAGATTGGGACCACAAGGTAGGGCTATTCTCTCTCCCATTTTCAGATTCTTGGTCCAGACTGCATCCTCTGCCTGCAGTTTACTTTTAATAATACGTCTTCTGAATACTGTACCACCACTAATTGGAATGTTATGCATAAGTACTTGGAGTTGAATTAATACTGATATTTACAGCTAAATCGAATTGCTAGTTACAACTAGAGCATACCTACTGAATCAATAGGACCGAATCAATCGGAAAAACTGACTCAACAAATCCTCTTCATCCAATGAGTCTATTTGACTTGGGACTACCTATACGATTTGACTAAATTATGCGCCCACCTTAAAACACATCAGTAATAAGTGCTGATAACTTTATATGAGTGCTTGCAAGGTAATCTTTCAAGTTGCACACATTTAGAAACTTTGCCTGGGATTTTGCAGCATTCAGATAGACATTTCATCACCAAATTGTTCCTTTCCTCTAAGCATGTGAATAAGAACACAGGAAGAGCCATGCTGGATCACAGCAAAGGTGCTATAATCATGTGGCCAACTGGATATCTATGTGACGTCTAAAAGCAGGGCTTGAGTGCTATAGCACCTCCCTGCTTATGCTCCATGGCTATTAGCATTTGGAACTATTCGGTTTTTGATCCTGGAGTTAAGACACAGCCATTGCGACTCTCAGCCATTGGAAAGCTTATTTTCCATAAAAGAATAACAAAAACAAATGTTTGCAAGGTTTAAAGAAATTTGTTATAAATTTGTATGGTGATGGTTCTTAACACCAGTGAAACTCAATTTATTAAATAAAACTGTATAATCTTTATGTTGGAGATGTTTTAAAAAAGAAAATAGGATGTATCTACATACGTGGTGGACTTGTGAAATCAGAATCCTTTTTAATGATGTGTGGTCTCAGAAAATCTGGACAGGATCTGTCATTTCTCTCCATCTTGATTCTGTTCTGATTATTTGTCAACCAAACAATACAAAATGCTTGAAATTCTGTGATGCCCAGTCTCCCACCTCTCTCTCTCTCTCTCATTCCCCCTGCCCCCCATGCAAAGAAACCCAATATTTCCCTATAGCTTCATTACTTGAGGAGCAGTTGAGCACACAAAAGTATGATAATACTTGTCATGATAGGCAGTGAGGGATCACTGCATTTAATTCTGGTGGATTGACTTTCTCCCAAGCATCTTCAAGACAAACTAATCATTCTNCCCCCCCCCCCCCCCCAATTGCAGGTGCTCGTGTGCTCGCTACAGACCTGCCTGAACTGATAGGAAACCTTCGGTACAACATTCTCAAAAACACAAAGACAAGATGCAAACATGAACCCCAGGTGAAAGAACTCATTTGGGGGTTTGACTTGGAGAAGAACTTTCCCAAGTCTTTATGCTGCTTTGACTACATCTTGGCTGCTGACGTTGTCTACCACCACCCTTACTTGGAGGAGCTGCTTCAGACCTTTGACCACTTGTGTACGGACAACACCATCATCATTTGGGCTATGAAATTCAGGCTGGAGAAAGAGAACCAGTTTGTGGACAAATTTAAAAAGCTGTTTGACCTGGAAATAATGGCTGATTTCCCCAGCTTAAGTATAACCCTGTTTAAAGCAATGAGAAGACGCAGGATGAAATAGTGTCTGATTACTCCTCCTTGATGGTTAATTAGTTTGTTGCTAATAAAAACTATCTGATGCTTAGCAACGTGTAGCTCAGCTTAGAGCTCTTGCTGATATGTGGATTTTAAGTCTGAAAAAATTACTGGAACACTCAAACATTTGATCCTCTAATTGCAGTTGTACGCAGTACAATCCTGCACCGTATGATCCTCAACACACCCAATTTCAGACCCAAAGCAGACTTGGGGGCAGGAAGACTTGGAGCATGATGACATATTTTAATTTACTATACAGGAGGGGGAAAAAAGAAAAGACAAAGTGCAGGCTTCAGGCTTTCATGGCAGAAGCCACACTTTCTCAAATGAGGATTTCTGGCTTGCCTTATGGTTAAGCAGAGTGAGGCAATTGACCCAGAAGGCAGATCCAGATGAACAGAAAGAGCAGCCCTTTGGATCTACCTCTTGAGCCCATTTGTACTCGCATAAGAGCAAAACACTTCAGAAAACCTGAACCAGCTCCTGATTTATTTCAGCCTCACATTTATAGCTTTCTGTGCAGAGATTTGATCCCATTCATACTTGCGTCATGCATCTTTTCAGAGATTCTTCTAAGTTAAGCAGGGTGGGATAAAAGATCACACATGTGTATTCGTACTTGCACACATTATGTTGGGGGGGGGAACCCTCTCAGTTGCGGCTTGTGTGCCATTCTCCTTAAGTACTTCTCCTGTCTTTTCTGTTACTGATTTATTTATTTATTTAAAACATTTTTACCCTGCTTTTCTCCCTAAAAGGAACCATGGCAGCTTACAACAATTAAAATACAATATTTAAAAGCTGAAAAGAGTAAGTAAGAGTAAGAGTAAACAAGTATTAAAATATTAAAAATGGTAAATAAAGTCAATAGTAGTGGTTAACACTAGTCACTTGATTTAAATTGTTTTTTTTTCCAAACACACTTCCTCCCCCTATGAATGGGCTGGAGGGCAGCATTTCAACCCGTTGAAGAGGGGTGAATGCTACCTGTTCTTCTGGGTGATTTTGGACTGCAGCTCCCATCAGCTCTAGCTAACATGGGCATTCGCAAAAGGTTATGGAAACTGTAGTCCAATAACATCTGTATGTAGGTCCACTTCCTCCCTATCCATGGATTAATAATGTGATATAATTCATCTTGGGAGGCGCCTCTGAACAGTATTTCTATTCTTGTTCTCTCTTTGAGCAGTTCTAGTACCGATGGTGCCTATGAAAGCCAGGTTGCAACTGAGATACTTTATCAAACCCATATGGAAATAAGTAATGTAACAAGCACATAGTTTGCTAATACCTGTGCCTGTTTGCCTTTGCGCCTTCGCCTTTGTGAGCACAAATTGCGTAACTGTGCTGCCACCCTGTGGAAACTTGGGATCAAAGCAAGGTTTTTGTACCATTTTTGTATAAAGCTTCTCGGTTTCCCTGACATAAATTCACACCAAAACTATTCATTCTGCTCTGGGTTGGGCTACACTTCCCAGAAACATTTGATTTGTAATTCTGGGGTGTTCGTATATCTGGAACGCTGGGTGCAGCACTATTTGAGATAATGTAATAAACAAAGATGCATTAAATAACATTGAGTGTCTTGGAAGAGTTGGACAGTGAACCAACTTTAGCAGAAATAAAAGTGGCCTTGGATTCCCTTGTCTCTTGCAAGGCACCTGAGAAGGATAACATCCCTGTTGAAGTGCTGAAGTGCTGTAAAGAGATCATCACCACTGAGCTGTATGAAATATTTTGTCTTTGCTGGAGGGAAGGGGGAGTACCACAGAACAGATAAACGCATTGGGAAAGCAGCTACCATGTTCTCTAGACTCACAAAGAGAGTATGGCTCTATAAAAAGCTGAGGGCATATACCAAGATCCAGGTCTATAGAGCCTGAGTACATTCCTCTACTGCAGTGAGTCCTTTGTGTATAGCAGGAGACAAAGTTGAACATGTTCCATATATGTTGTCTCCAACACAATCTTGGTATCACCTGGCAGGACAAAGTTCCAAATAGAGTAGTCCTAGAACGAGCTAGAATTTTTATTATGTACAGTGGTGCCTCGACTTACGAATGTCCTGACATACGGCCATTTTGAGTTACAACCAGCTCTGGCTGCAAAATTTTGCTTCTACTTGTGACCGGAGTTTCTACTTACGAACAGAAAAAGACAGGGGAAAAAGGCAGGGAATTCAAATTGCTAACTGTTGGTGGTGAAGAGGCTGCTTTTTTGTAGCTCTTTTGTCCCAGCAGTCAGAGAGGAGGAGGATTCTGACTGCTTGGTAAGGTGCTGTTTTCTACTTTTTAAAAACTGTTCCGGTTGGGGTTTGCAGCTTGGTTTTGGGCTGGGTGGTGGGATTATGTTTCTATGCTGTGATGGGTCCTGCAGGGTTTGCTTGTTTTTTGATTCCCCCCCCCCATTTCCAATGGGTCTTGCAGGGCTTGTTTGTTTTTTTGGTTTTTTCCCCATTTCCAATGGGTCCTGCAGGGTTTGTTTTTTGCTTTGTTTTTTTGCATTTCCGAAGGGTCTTGCATGGTTTGTTTGCTTTATGCTTTGCTTTTTTTGCATTTCTGAAGGGTTTTCAATGGTTTGTTTGCTTTCTGCTTTTCTTTTTGTTTGCATTTCCAAAGGGTCTTGCGTGATTTGTTTGCTTTCTGCTTTGCTTTTTTGCATTTCTGAATGGTCTTGCATAGTTTGTTTGCTTTCTGCTTTGCTTTTTTTGCATTTCCGAAGGATCTTGCAGTTTGTTTGCTTCCCCCCCTTCGGCCAAAATGGATTAATCGCGTTTTCAATGGGTCTTGCATGGTTTGTTTACTTTTTTTTTTATTTTTTCCCTTCAGCTGGAATGGATTAATTGGGTTTTCGAAGGGTCTTGCAGTGTTGTTCTTTTTTGGTGATTTTTTCTTCAGCCAGGACAATTAACTGCATTTCAATGCATTCCTATGGCAAATAGTGCTTCAACTTATGACTGTTTCAAGTTACGAACGGATTTCCAGAACCAATTAAGTTTGTAAGTCGAAACATTACTGAAACAGTGACGTCTACGCTGGTTTGGGCATGTCGTGAGAATGGCTGACAATCAGATTCCAAAGTATCTCCTGTATGGAGAATTTGTGCAGGGAAAGCACCCCAGAGGGAGACCACTGCTGCGATACAAGGATATCTGCAAGCGGGATCTGTAGGCCTTAGGAATGGACCTCAACAGATGGGAAACCCTGACATCTGAGTGTTCAGCCTGGAGACAGGTGGTGCACCATGGCCTCTCCCAATTTGAAGAGACCCTTTGTCGCACACCTCCAGTGACCCCTGTGTGTTTTGCCCCTCACCCAGGTTCACCTTCTGGCACGACTTGTTCTTTTCACTTTTATTCGCTGCCACCAGAGGATATAAATTGAACAAACAAACAAACAAATACAAACAAACAAACAAACAAATATTATCCTCACTATATCAATTATGATTCTCCCACTCTTGCTGCCAAATAAAATAAGGTTTATTTAAGGATAAACAAGTGAATCACGGAAGGAAAATCATGGGTGTTCTATTATTATTCATTCCTTAAACGTGAATTTGATTACTTATAAGCTTGCTTGTACTCATTTCCTTTAATCAAGATCTCAATATTTTCTGACTGTCAATGTACTTGATTCCTTATAACTTTTTAGTATTCTCTCACTAACCAACTGTCCAATATCTAGTGTAAACACTTCACAGTCTCCTCCCTGTCTAAACACTTTACCATATTTTTCCTAACTGAGTCTCTGTCATACACAGTTCTGTTGACTCCCCCCTTGACTTCGCCCCTCCTGTCCTGTCATAGGCTCCTGACCTAGAGCTCTAAAATGACTGACAGGAGTGATGTGTGGGCTGTCCACCACACCCTATCTATCTATCTATCTATCTATCTATCTATCTATCTATCTATCTATCTATCTATCTATCTATCTATCTATCTATCTATCTATCTATCTATCTATCTATCTATCTATCTATCTATCTAT